TTTCGATCATTAAACAGATAATTCATCTGACTCTACAAAGGTACTTTGTGAAAATGGAGCTCGAGAGAGTTCCCTTCACTATCCCTAGAAGGGCACCACCTGAAACTTTCAAGTTACAGGTTATGTTGGGCATACCAGAGTTGATTCACTCTAGTGTGTGGGGAAAAACCGCGGTTTTGAGCGGTTTCGAAGAAACGCATAGATGGTCTGACTCCCGGCATCTAAAAATACCGACCAAAACCGCGGTTTTTAATACCGTTGCGGGTGTGGATGTGGCTGTCGCTGTGGCAGTGGCTACGGGTGTTCGACGTTTCAAGGGAGACACCCACACTCACACACACACCCTAAAAGATATATATAGAGGAACCAAATGTTCATTTTTCAAACATAAATTCATTTTTCTCTCACTATCACTACGATAATTTTAATACATCAGAAGAAATGGATACTACGTTAAGATCATACCACAAAAGCCAAACACCTACGAGTTTCAAAATAAATAGTTTAGAATTACTGCAGACGAATAAAAGTTTTCTTCTGTATATATTGCTCCTAGCTTAATGAACAGGGAATCCTCGGACAGAAAATGAGTCAATTCTCAACAAGCATTACTGCTGAACAGAAATTCCTGATAAAACCAATTCAATATGCATTCGAGAAAATCCCATCTTATTTAACAAAATGAAACCAATCTTGTCAACTAGTACCAAATCCAGCATTAGCAACGATGGGTATAGAAGCATCGAAGTTTCGCCGAGATAAACTACCGCATATTGCTATTTTACTCAACAAAATAATTTTAATGCAAATGTATCCCCGTTTACGAAGAACCTATTTAACATCAGATATGAAATCGTTAGTCAATGATTCAGAAAAGCAATTCAACTGCACGGCCAACTTTCAAATTTGGCCAAAAGAAATCAAAATAATTCGGTAATCTACGAAAAACGGTAAAACGAATGCAAATAAAATTTGCTCGGAATTTCATCATCATCATTTATATGAACACGAACGTTAATTTATACAAAACTGTACAGAATTGAATAGCAAATTCAATAGCTTTCAGCATTAGACATCAATCATACACACATGCATTCAAAAATACACTAAACGAAATCTGCTTTATTTACGTACGGACATCGAAAATGAAATAGAAAGCGCTCATGATGCCTATCATATACAAGAATTAAAACAAGAAAATAATCGACATAATCCACGTGACTACGAGCTATGTTTCCATTTACCTAGTGATGCGATAAAAACAATGTCATCACCCGTCGCACGTTCGCTAGCAATAAAAGACTCATATGCAGCAAAATTAGATAATCAAAGTTACCTGATGATGACCCTTAAGCAAGGTCGAAATCGGTCGTAAGTATCGCTTGAGCTATCTAATAAAACTTCATTTGTTATACACACCCCACACCCACACCCGTAAGTTTATCAAGGGATTGATATGATTTAAGATCACTGATTAAATTTTCTTTCTATAGAAAACTAATAATTTATTGTGAAAATGATTTTGATATTGAATTACCAACTTTTGTTTTTTTTCACTGAATGACTTGGAGTCAACGGCACCCAACTTTCGAGTCCAAGTAAGGTCGGAGTCTGTAAAAAAGAAAAGCGACTCGAGTTTGAATTATAACTTGAACTCAGAGATCTCTGAGTTTTTTTTTCACCGTAATGTCGTCTTGATAAGAAGAAAAAAACAACCTCATGTGAATTAGGTCATGATATTGGTTTTTATTGAATTATATGAATATTTTTTGTTTGTCATGAAAAGAATCTATCTGGTATCTGAATGAATATTCAACAATAAGTCAAAGTAGATATTTTGTTTGATATATAGAAAAAAACAAATAGCTTTTAATTGATTTTAAAATAAAACTGATTTGCAATGATCTATTTCATAGATAATAAAATATTATTTATAAACTTTTCTTTAGGTATTGTTTTCAGAAAATGAACAATTTTAACCATTAATCATACTTGTACTTAGAAAATGTGGTTAATATACGATTGACTAAAGGATCTCTTAATATTTATTAACCATCTTGTGACTAACTTTTGTTTTGTAAAAACTTGATTTTCTGAAAATTGACTCAAGACTCATGTAGCAACTAAAGATTGTATGACGAAGGGTTTTTTGAATCTCGATCTTTCACATCTCTAATTATAGATCTTTTGTATCGTCTAAACAGGTTTTTTCTTATGATAGATATTCTTCAGGATTACTATCTTGTTATCTTGTTAAATGATCATGTTTTAGACTGAATCTTTTCATCACCCATTGATGTTGTTAAACTTAAATTTTAGTCTATGCTATGTAAATAAATACACATATAAAAGTAAACATTTATTCAATCTGTCATTCAAAATTCTGAAGTCTTTACGTAGGAAAAAAAATACAGAAGATTTTCGATTATTCACAGAACAAAAAAAACATAACAATAAAATAATTAGAGATTTATCTTATAATACATTAACATTTTATCAAATAAAAAGAAAAATTCTACACATTGTCATGCTATAGTTGACATATGAAAGTCTGATTCGTTATCTTCATTGATAATTGTTACATTATCAAGACCATTATTACATAAATCATATTCAGAATCACGTCTTAAACCTGTACTTTCAATACAACGTGGATTTGTATTTCTCATTCGTTTTAATGATGACCATTTTTCTAAAACACGTTGACGTCGATGAAAACCAATAGCCGCAAGAAGTACTACAACTATAACTACACATGACAGTGGTATTGCATACGTTAAAATACGTGTCATGTCATTATTATCATTATATGATTCTGTTGTTACAGTATACCTTGTATCAATGATTGTTGTTGTTAAATTTTGAATGTTTTTGTATAATTTATTGTTGATACTCATCTTTATAATCACAAGACAACAAAAAAATATTTAAATAATAAAGAAAAACAAAAAAAAACTTCAGTTATATCACACCGGTAATATAGATATCTTCTTTTTATCTTGAGTCAGTTGTTTATCTTTATGTTTCATGTTTTAAAATGACGATAATATGGTTGCAACTTCGCGTAAGATTTCATGACATATAAAAATTCTTTTTTTATATTTTTGTCCTTGTCATGATGTTACAAGCATTTTTCTTTCGTATTTATAATATTGAAATTTAGATGATGTAAATAAAAAATGTTTCATTGTTTAAGAGAAACAAATATTGACAGAACTGTATTGAAAATATGTCTAGATTTTATTTATTCTAAACGATTTTCTTTTATCATTTGTTTATCAGGTTGATAGCATATGGTCTCATCACATCCTCACAACATGTCACAAAAGACTTTGGGATGATAGTCGAACAAATATTTTGTACCGAAATCAAGGTAAATTTTATTTACATCAGAGGTTAAAAAAAGGGTTGATACTAGATTGACTTCATTGTCAATGTTTATATACCTAGAAAATATTACGAAAAAAAAATTTATCATTATTTTTCGACTATGATTTAAATGATCAGTTATCCATTAATTAGGTTGCTAAATAATTTTGAGAATCAGTAAATATTATTAATTAATATTAAATAAAATAAAATGATGAATATAGAATTTGAAATGTGTTATAGTGTAATTTAAATACATGATAGACATATTGAAAAAGAAATAATAGAAGATATTGATACGCTTCAATTATCTTATTCTACAGAAGTATTCGACTTAGTATTAACATGACATATGAACAACAAGCAAAAAAAACAATCAATATTAGACTTGATGAATTATTTTCATAATGAATGGCTTAAAACAAATAATAGTTGGTATGAAAGTATACAATTTTATGCATCAAGTGCAAACAATGCCCTAGAGGCAACCAACACAACAATCAAAGATGATAGAACATTTAGAGAGCGTCATGTTCTATCAAATTTTTTGGTAATAGCTTCAAATATTATCAATAATTAGTGAATTGAACGAGATTTTACATGAATTAATGGGAAAATATTTGCTATTGAACCAGTAATATCTTCAGAATTATGAACTTTATCTTATCTATGGGCTAAATCAACAAAGTATATAAATTGTATTTCCAATGATTCCTCAAAAACATATTATATACCAGTTTGTGATTTACAATCAATTTCTCAAGTCAATTTAAACAAATATAAAAATAAAACAGTCAGCATTTAATCAATTTAAAAAAGTTCACTTGCTATTCGGTATATGGAAATGAAGAATGGTGCAAATTGCAAAAAAAATCCAAATGCAATTCTCCAGAATTTTTCAAAACTATATATACAAGCACGTTGTTGATATGGCTATTCATTTAAAATATTTCAAACTACAACCGGCGGCAAAAACAGTTCCGATTGATGAAAAAAAAACAAAAAAAAAGGTAGACCAACTGAAACTAAACTCGTTTTGCTATTAAATTAATTTCATGTTCTCTTTTCACAATTTTTTTTCTTATTTATTCAAATTTATATTTTTCTCATACTATTGTACTTAATACTGTTAAAACTTATTTTTTCACTGATCAGATTTGTATTTGTCACTGAAATAAATTGTAATTTTTACTGCTACTAACAAATAATAAACTGATCATTTCACCTATCTTACTGATCAAATATTTTGTTCCCTTATTTTTGCTTGATAAAAAACTTCATTGCAATGAATCCAGCGACACAACGAAACGAGATCAGAATAGGAGAGAGTATTTTTGAAAATTGAAAAAAGTGTTGAGCCATGCATTAGTGTTTCGAGGCAGGTGTCTTTGATGGATGGATTGTAAATATTTTCTACAAACTCAGATATGCGAACGTATGGTCAGTTTCAACTGATTTTACCATAACAGTCAAACCTTAAAAAAAAATTCCTAAGTTTATACAAAAGTCAAAAACATTTATTCTAAAGCAAACATTAGTGTAGCATTCTCTTGTGTTTTGTAGTTCTTTCTAGTACAAAGTTTTTTCATATTTAGGTCGAAAATGTTTCTAAATATTTTTTAATGCCGAAGGTGGTCATATTTGCACGAACTGTCAACCAATGTGAAGAATATCGAGTTTCATTAGAAATTCAACCTTGTGCTATATTTTCAAAATACAGACACGTTTATTGGGCTTCCGGCGGTGACACTGTTTTTTTTAAGAGTTTGAAGGTCTGAGCCGTTGAATAATTATTGGAGTTATTCCTGCCTTTATGACGATGTTTTCAAAAATTGTTCAAGATCATTTATTTTCAATGAAGTTACTAAAGTTCAAGTAGTTACTTGAGAATTATAAATGAATGATTCTGAACTCTGTCGCTTGAAAAAATCTAGATGTACTCACACCACTTCGAATTATCATAGAGAGTAATGAAGTTTTTCGATAATAATTTCAATCGCTATTTCATAGGTGAAATAGTCCCAGTAGATAAAATCTTCACGAAATCAGACAAAAGGATAAGCTCAAATTTTCTGAAATCAAATTAAGACATAGCTCGACTTTTCTGAAAATCAAGGACAGTAGATCAAAAATTTTCTCCACAATCATAGAAAGCTGAAGTCAAACTTTGCAAACCAAGAGGGAGTACTCCACTTCCTGGTCGTATCGCCATTCAACAAATCTTAGTTTTTGTAAAACATGTTTTAAAAGGAGTGTTGAAGTATAGAAGTAAAAATTTGAACCCCCCCCCCCCCTTAAATCGTAATGGACATTGATATATGATCACAAACTGTATATCGATAACGTCTCGTTAAAATATATGAACTGCGTTCTTATTGCATTTCTAGAGGATTAAATAAAAGAACGGTGAAAAAATGTGTCCCAAAATAGATGCAATAAAATAATCTCCCTATGATTAGCAAGAGCAACTACATCATGTTTCACATTTTAATCCCGCCAGGGTTGCGCGAACAGCTTTGTAACCATGCACACAATCAAAAAAGAAAAACGATGAGACCATTAAAATATAAAATGTTATTAAAACAATTACATTACTTACTTGAAAATCTTTTCTAATTGACAATTTAGGGAATTTAATGTTCGTTTAAAATCCAACAGAATAGCATTATCATATCAAGACAACAGATAAATCTTTGTTCTTAAGTAGACTTTAGTTCACTTTTATTTATCATAAGTTATGAGCTAGATTACGAAAAAAATCTACTCGGATCGAATTTCTTCATCTTTATTTTTCAAGTACGATACTTCTCAATCTTCTTGGTAAGGACATGTGTAATAAATTTTTATTAAAAACAATATTCGATGAGATTTTAAATCGATTAAAAAAATTGATCGCATCATAGACTATATGAAATTGATATCATAGAACAAAAAATATAGGAACTTCATACAAGCATAATTTCTGTTTATACAAGTCTTGAATGAAGAGAATGATCTGATACTTTAAATAAATTAAGAAAAAGCACGTCAGTCTATACATACAGATGGATGAATATATTTGTATGTATTTTTATTGAATATAGATTAAAGACATGTGAAAGCATCTTTTTCTTTTTAAAATTGAATTAATTGTTTTTTTTTACACATGTCAAAAATTAAATTGAAATAATTCTTTTTTTAAAGTATACTTTTTTGATTAAAATAAAAATCTAGTTCAATAATATTTGGTTTTTCTTTTATTATAATGAACATATATTTGAACTGTATTACCTTATGATAAAGAGAAAAAGGCAACCTAAATCGATAATTTACACATTTAATACTTTAGCGTTTTTCTCTTCATTGACAAAAGTTTCAATTCTCTTTTTCTCGTACCTTTATTTTTATCGTTCTCCGTGCCTGAGTACGTTTTAATACTTCTTTCTCTGCTATCGCCCTTTTTTTCTTCTTCATCTTCTTCTTTTCTACACGTGTCAAAAAAAAAGAATAACTTAGGAAGGAATACATGGAGTCTTGTCGTTGTCGACATCGCCATTGCATCCGAAATAAAGTTATACAACAAAAAAAGAATAACATGATCAATTTCGTTGACCTTTTAGGTCTCATCCATGGTCGATAGTATGTGTGTTCATTTTTTTTCGGACAGATAGTATGGAATGAATAGAAAATGATGGTGAATTTCATTTAATTATCTGTGTTTGATCTCTGGTCTTTTTGCGTAACATATATATATGTTATTTTTTTATGAGTGAAAAGGTGAATCATATTGTGTCTCAAAGTGTATGTGAAGAATTTCATTACTCATTTTTATTCTACCTGAGTATGTTAGCATGAGTAAGTTTCTTGCGCTGTTTTTTTTCCTCGTCTAACGTTGCTTTTTTTGTGTTTTTTAACATCGTACATTAAAAAAAAGAAGCAATGACAATGTCTGTATATAAATTGTGTCCTGGTGTGTGTCGTTATTGAATGACAAGACTGTTTGAAGAAAACGTTACTTTTCTTTTGTCTTTTCATCATTATGGGTGACACGTTTTACAAATAGCTTCTACGTTTTTCTTGTCTCGTACATTGTGCCAATGTTCATCACATGGCTCATTGGACATTTTGAAGGACAAAAAAATATGTGTACATGTATGCATTGGAGAAAAGAGAAAAAAACATTCATTATTCTACAAAAAGGCTCTTGTAGTATGTATGTGTAGGTAAGACGACATTCACATCGTTGGTGACCCTCGGCCACTGTACAACAAAAGAATGAAGAGAGAGAGAGAGAGAGAGAGAGAAAGCAAATGAACTCTATATGCGCATGTCACCAACAAAAAAAAAAGTAGGAGTGTTTTTGTACATTGAACGATACGAAAGAGAAAGAGAGAAAAAGGTACAGATGTGTACATAATGTTTGTTCATCGAGATGAGAATGAGCAAATGAGAAAAGAAGAAAAAAAAGGAAACAGCAGCAAAAAACAGTAGTAGGCTAAGAGTTCATCATCATCATTAGTCTTCTTTTCTTTTGGTATGTGCGTGTGTATGTGTTTCTATATGATTGCTCAATCTTATTTATTATATGTCTATTGCAGATGGGTACTATCGACTCTTGGTCATCGATTGAGGCAATCATAAGACAACGTTTGGAATTGAATGAAATTGATCGACGTTATTGTGCCGTATGTGGTCGACAAGGTCCATCATTGTCACGTTGTTTCGGTTGTCAGATGGTTTATTATTGTGGTGAAGAACATCAAATTGAAGATTGGTCTAAAGAACATGCTCAAAACTGTACACAATTAGAATGGGTTGCATTAGGAGAATTTATTCAAGCTTTACCAGCTCAACCACCATTACCAAATGTTGGTGATAAATGGCCATTATCATTAAAAGAAATTAACAATTGGAAAAGTTGGTTTTCTATACGAACAAATATTGTTAATTTAGCTAATAATACAGCAAATGTTTTGAAAAATCTTATACATTTAACTGATAAACGACAGCCAACTCATCAAAGTAAATCGTTTTTACATTTCTTTTTTTAATTAACAAAAGGTGTTAATTGATTTTTATATATTTGATCACACTTTTGTATATCTGTACTATAGATTAGCACGCCATATTGACACATATATGTAGAAAAGAATAAGACTTCATATGGAAAGCTCATTATATATATATATATCTATAACTACATATATACATATATATATATGTATATATAACAAATTTTGACTTCTATATTTGTCTTTCTTTTTGCTCTTTTTTTTATAGATGCAATTGATGGTCTACTTGCAGCGGTAACTGACCTTTTAACGCATGTTCTTACGATCGGCAAGGCTGTAGTTTATTTTGGCCTTCAACCAAATATTCGTCCTCTTGTCATTCATATACTTAGTGGTTTTAACAAAATTGATCTTGTTGGTAACAACCAATCATCACCAAATTTACCCGCTCGTTTTCATGAACTACTCAATATGTTTCCCGATAATAAAGTAAGTGTACTGTCGAGATACACAAAATAAGAGCACTTGTCTCTGTATATTGACTTAGTCGTTCGGTGATTATATAATCATAAAGAAGAGAGAAATGAAAAAAAAAACGATTGTGTAGAGTCTAACATGTTTGTGTCAATTATCTATGGCGGGTCTGTATGCATAGGTAGGAGACAATTCGAAAAGATCATTTTAATTGCGAAAAAAAGAATGTCGTAATCATAGTAAGAAAGACTATTGACAAAAACATTATCTATCTTTTTCTATTCACATAACTCAATGAATGATTGCCAAATAACTATCACCAAATATTGTATGCGTGCAATACGATAAAAATCATTGCTTACTAGTCCGGCTGTTATTTTTACCCATCATGTCGTTCATGCACATATGATTATATATTCATATATGTATACATACTGTGTAGAATGCAGTCAGGCAAAATAAAAGATTATCGATCATTTTGATGATCAACAAAATATGCATAAGAAAAAAGAAAAAGATATATATCTGTCTACATAGGGTGTTGAACTAGTCATTGTGATTGGTGACGATAATCAAGACGACACAGACGACTCGTCTATACCACATGCCAAGCTCAAGTATGTGTATTTTCTATTCATTTCTTTATTTTTTTTTTCTTCGACATTTGTCTATGAATAATAGACCCGATAGATTGATTATAACAACTACCGGCAAAGGTCGTCTTCTTGACACATTTGAAGAAAAACGTTTACAGCAATCAATAGCTGATCTTCTTGTTTATTTTAATGCTGCACATCTTTTCCTGGTATATATAGATTTATATGCGATTTTTATTTAAATAATGTTAATTACTTTTTTTTTTCTTCCCTTATATATATATATACATATATCTATAGCCATCGAATATAGAACAATTAAAATCAATGCTGAGTAGACAACGTCCAACATTATTAACATTTGAAGATCAAGAAGAATTTCATCAAGCACAAAGATATTTATCAACAAAAAGTGTTAATGTTCAACATGCAGGATCTAATCAATTTAGGTATATTCGAAGAAAAAAAAAGCTAATTGTAAAAAAATTGTATATATGTATTGATTTCTTTAGTTCATTGATTATTCGACAACGTCCAAACAAACCAAATGCAACCTATTCAACAAATAGCTATCAAATATTATTAAATACAATGACTATTAGTAGTACTGCTGAGAGAAATGATGAAAGTTCTTCATTATTATCTCATCAACGTTCTCATCAATCTTCCATTGGAATCCAACATGGTCATTCACAACAGCAACAACAACAACTCAATCCCGGTCTGAAACAGGTCAATGGTAAAATACATATTGAATCTCTTTCGTCGTCGTCGGTGTCATATAATACGCAAGCAAACAACAATGGGACACTACTAGACACAAACGCTCACATAGGTATAATTTGATGAATAGAGTTCGGGAGACAGATGTATGAGCGTGCATTATAATAATGTTCGTTCTGTTTCTTTCTTTCTCTTTTTTTTTCCTCTCTCTTTCTTAGTTTCGACCGCGAACACGATTACTACTGTTCAACCATTGGTACGATCAAATAATAATATACGTCAACCTACTCTAGTACAACGACGGCATCATTCTCCACCTACATCAATATTAACATCTCCTGCTATTAATACAACGACATCATATCGTGCAACAAATCCAACAACTGCTGAGATGATGACTACTACTGAAATAATCAGGTATTATTAATATTTATATGAAATAAATCAAAGGTTATGATTTTTTTTTGTTTCAAATAGAAATGATCATAAACCTCAACCAAAACCACGTTTATCTCTAGTCAAAACAACGGATAATGATACAGATGTAACAAAATCACAAATAAATGGTAATCTTGTTCAACGTATTAAACCATTTTTTGAACAATCATCAACAATATCATCACAAGAACCGAAAGTTATCAAACAAGAGCGTCAATCTGTTTCAATTCCTTATACATATCAAAAAGAAAATAATACCAAAGCCACATGTCTTGATGATATTATTTCATCCAAAGTATGAATATTTATAAGACATGTGAAAGAGTAGACATTGATTATTTATTCTAGACTGTATATGCCACGTCGTCACCACTGCCATCACAACGAGTAGAAACTTATACCAATGGACGAATTGTAACAAGTAGTGCAATTATTTCTTCACCATCTTCAATTGAAATACCATATGATGAACGTATGACAAAGACCAATACAGTTAACACTTTAAATATTTCTAAACCAACAATTGAACGTCGTACTGATGAACGAACAATAAAAATTACTACGAATAGTGGTTCTTCGTCATCGACAATGCCAATGGAAATTCATCACGATCAACGAACTGTAATGAGTGCTACTACTATCGCTTCACCTCCTCCATCATCATCACCATTGTCATCATCCATCGAGAATCGTTCTAATGAAAGAATTGTCACAGCTACTATTGTTAATATTTCACCAACGCTATCACAACCAATTGAAACTCACATTGACAAATCAACTGCTGTAATGTCTATCATGAAATCAAATTCTCCACCACCACCACCACGACCACCATTACCAGTCTCAACATCGTCATCTACTAATAATGAAATAATTTATACTGAAGTCATTAAAAATCGTGAACGACCTTTATCATCTCATCATAATGATCTTGTAAAATCTACTGTAAGTCCTTCTCGTTCATTTATTATCCCAACTAAATCACCAAGTATTTCATTAAAAAATCCATCATTTAATATTCAGCGACCATCTCGATCACAAACAACAAATAATTTTATATCACATAATAATAAATCTAGAGCACCTATTCAATCAATGATGACACCTGATCGAATAAGTCTTTATTCACAACGAAGTAATAAACAATCGGATATGGGTGTAACAATAAAAAATTTATCTGAATGTATTGATCGTGTTGGTGTTGTATTTGATGAAACAAATCGTCGAAATGATGTACCATCAACTGGTTTAACAACAGTAGATCTTATTCGTGAACAATTATCAAATTCATCGACATCGAAATCATCTGGATCTTTATTAGATAAATTATATAAATCGAACAGTAGTACTCGTTTATCAACATCATCATCATCACGTGCATCAATGAGTATAGCTTCTCCACGATCAAAATCTCAACAAGCAACAAAAACTCATCATGAACAACCTCCAGCATCTAAGTAAGAAAGAAATCTAAATAATTTAATTTCAATTACCATGACTAGCGAAAGAACTATTCGAGCTGATACCCACCGTTTGAGCACATATTGCGTTTACAAGGACACGTTGATAAGAGTAGTAAAGTCTAAAACGGTTCGTCTCCGTAGACCTTTGAAAGCAAGTTGTGGCTGTTTTACTGAATTTTCGGTCTAGCTGTAGGTATACATTGGAAGATCTAAAACGAAACAAAATTTTGCCTATAGATAAATTTAATGACCCTTAATATATCCTGAAAGCGTGAGCTTAAAAATAATTGTTACTTTAGAAGTTTCAAATAAACTCGAATTTTGTGGAATTTCTATAGCAAATGACTATTTTCTGGAAATTTAATATCTTGACGAAGACACATTCTTTTCGAGTGTTTGATTTTTAGCTAAAATACCTACAATTGAATCGAAAATTCAGTCGAACAGTCATAACTCGGTTCTAGAGGCTCATGGACACGAATCCTTGAAAGATTTTTCCAGTTTTACTGAGATCTCTTTGTGAATCCAATATGAATGTCAAACGACAAGTATCAGTTTGGATGGTTCTCTCGTAAGTGGCTACACTGTTTAACACGTATTCGCAAAGTTCTATGTTCAAATCTCATTTCTATCAGTCATGGAATGACCCTAGACAAGTCACTAATGGTTATTTGTCTCAAATCACTCCTCCCATAGCTTGTGAACTATGTGCTGCGTGCTACAGGTAGTAATATTTGCAGAGAAGTTATCGAGCTATTGAATCTATCACTAAGTAGCCGAAAAGCAGAAGTATTCTTTGATTAGATTCCATTGATTATTCTTTTCTCTCAGACTAACTCCAACAACAATCCCAACAACAACATCACCGCCATCATCAACAGCTCAATCAATACGACGAACTGTTGGTGTCTTTCTTCCACTTACACCAAAAAATCATCATGAATCTGAACAAACAAATTTAACCACATCCGAACAATCACCAGCATTACTTTATCAAAATCTTGAACCACATAATTCAAATTCATCTCCTACTCAAATTCTCGACTATACACTTAAACAGCATTCTGGTCCAGTATGTATTGGTATACCAAAACCATTTCGAAAACCAACTGCAATTATTGAACCATCGCCTGTTGTAACATCACCAATAAGAAATATATCTGAACCAAATTATATTAATCTTACACATCAAGATGAACATATTTATACAAATGAAAATAGTACAGGATTAACCGGTAGTAGTAATTCAAATTCCTATACAAGTAAAACATCAAGTATATATTCAACATCAGATAAACAAAATTTAATAACAAGTTCTGAAACTCATTATGCAATGTCTCATATACCATCAACACAACAAGAACAATCAGTTGAATATGATTCATTTGATGATGAATTAGCTATTGATGATATTGCTAAAATAGAAAAATCTCCTCATTCACATGATAATACAGATAATGATTCATTTGATGATGATGATGATGATAATGATGATAATAATAATAATAATAATAATCAGTTATCAAATAATCAATCAATATCATCAAAAAATTCATCAAAAAATTTTTTTCGTTCAACATTAAATCGTTTAACACGATCAAATAAATCTTTAGAACGTCTTAATAATGAAACAGTAACAAATGATTGTATACAAGAATTAAATCCATCCAATATAATTGATACGAAAACAAAAAAAACACTTCGTAGCATAAAAGCACGACGTGAAGCTAAAAAAACTGGTAATCTTTTAATAACATATACAGGTGATGATGATACAACATCAATTGATTCTAATTGCTCAACACAAACATCAACAAGTTTGAATAAAACAATAACAACAAAATCATCAAATAACCGTTTTCGTTTATTTCGTCGTAAAATTGAAAAAGAATTTGCTAGTGACACTGAAGCTGAAAAACATCAAACTGAACAACGACGAAAAAAATGGAATAAAAAAATTCTTAATGATACAGCTAATGAATTGAAAACAAAACGTTTATTAATGATGAGTGATGATGATGATGATACTCATAATAATAATAATAATAATGATGATGATGATGAAAATAATCAAAATTTAAATCAACAAATAAAACAAAATTTCATTAATGATGAAACACATATTTATGATCATATTATTAATGATGAAATAAATAATAATAATAATAATAATACTTTATCTCGTATGGGTAAATTATCACATGAAACACATTTAAAATCTCCAACAATAACACTTGATGAAATACGTTCAGAAATTCAAGCTGAAATAGCTGCACGACAAGATATACAAATAAATAATCAATCAATACAATCATCAAATTTTAATTTACAAAAAAAACGTTCAAAATCAGTTACATTTCTTGATGAATTACTTGCTGATGATCCTAACCAACAACAACACCAACAACAACAATTACATATGATTACAAAAAATGATTTACAAATAAAACCATCAACAACAATAAAACGTATTGAAAAAGGTGATGCACGATCTATATGTGGTGCTTTAACGGGTACCGGACCTATACGTGGTATTATTAAAGCAGCAAATAATGATATTACTGGTACAACAGCACCTGTATCACCATCAGCAGCAGCAGCTATTTATTTAAGTGGAACAACAATTGATACACGATGTACATCACCGAAAATTAATGAACGTACACATCGAGTAAATATAAAGTTTATTTATTTTCTTTTTCTATCGAATATTTATTAATTTTGTTTTATTTTCTTCTAGCCACTTTCTACATATACAGTTGGTTCAGCTCGTTTTTATGATGGTGCACCAGTAGTACCATCAACTCCTGCACCTGCACCACCTCTTCCAAGTCATTCTTTTAATCAAAATAATAACAACAATAATAATAATAATATACCAAATCATCGACCAATATTAAATAATTCTTCTCATCATTCAACATCGAGTAATGCTCATTATAAACGACCAACAGCAAAAGTTAGTCCGTTTCAAGCAAAATCTCCTAATGAATCATCATCATCATCACCTATATCTGTAAGTAAACAGACAGCATTATCATCAACATCAAAGAAGTCAATGCGACCATCTACACATAGAAATATGCAAACGTCACATGATATAACTAATGTAGCAATATCATCGGTTAGTGATGGTGTTGGCGGTGTATCAAAACGATTACAGTCCAATTTCTAGAGACTAAGAAAAATCTCAGGAGTTTTATATTCTCTTTACATTCCATGATTTTTGTTTTCTTGCTTTTCTTTTTGTTTTGTGCAATTTTCTATTTGCTTAATCTGTTTTGCCATACTATTTTTAGTACAAATTTGTATGCATCAGTGCACGGAGTTTGCTTTTCAGTTAGAAATTGTATGTTTTTGTGTGTGTTTTGATTTGAATGTACAATTTATGTTGACGAAGAAGAATAAAGACTATATGTATCTCAAAAGATTATTTTTCTATTTTTGCTTAGTGTAATCTTTGAGAAATTTTGTCAACACGTATTGATGTATTAATCGATTAAGATATATTGTTCGGTCGAATTATGGATCGTTTCTTAATTATTCTAGCATTAGAATACACAAAAAAAGAATAAGATTCATCGACTAGTCTTCGTCTTGAAGATATCTTATACGAGTATGTATGTTTGTCAAAAGCAAAATGTCGAAAATTGAAATCTCTTTTAGTCATACGTTTCACTCTCATTCTCACGGTGGGATTTTGTGCATGCATGTCATATTACCTTCTGTTGATCACAAATTAAAAAGAACAGTCAGTGTATTATAGATAGAGAAGATGAAGATACTACTTGATTCAATTCAAGAGCTTTACAAAGATATTGTACTTCTTGATCATCGATTTGATTTGAACTGAGGTCCAATGTGGTTATTTTCTATGCGTGAGAATAAGATGATTGAAGGATTTGAAAAGGCATGCCGTTATGGGACGTGCAACCAGTAGTTATCTCTTAGATGTTGCTAGAGTGTTCTATATCGTTTTAGCTGATGTAAAACGGAAAGAAACATCTCAGATATTGCCATACTTCCGTGATTCAATACTCTTGTAAGTACATTGTCGCTTGAAAATATCGATTTGAGCAGTGTTTTCGTTAGTTTCGTTTCAGTGATCGTCTTTGACATGTAATTTTTAAGTATGACTCGCTTTTGATTCTTTAAGTTATCATCTTGTCGGCTAATGGTACTCATTTTCATGATTGCTAGGTTATAACTAGTGACATTTTTAAGTTAATTTCCACTATTATGAGTGGTATGTTATCATTTTCCGCTGTAACTCAAAGTATAAATTGTTTTCTACAAATCATGCAATTTATCCAGTTAAATTTCTCGAATGCGTAGTTTTCCATGAACAACGCTGTAGTGAGACGTTATATAGATTGATATGCTCGATAAAAGAGTTGTGTTGAAGGTGATCAAAGTCATATTTTCAGATATAGGTAGGTGCTGTATCTGATATCGATGGTAGCTATCAACAATTGCATTCATACGTGTACAAACGTTTCGTGTCAAACATAAAACATTGAAATCATCAAGATTATCAAGAATTCGGTAGACGAGTTCCATCGGTAATGTAAGAAGATTTGTAAGAATTATGGTCGATATGAATAAAAAATGTTTCAGATGTTTCGGGTGTTGAAATGTGTGTTGAGTATAAGGTGTGTTTAGTGGGTTTTTTCGTTTAAATAAGATTATACTGGTTTTATATCGTGAGTTTCTCTTGCTGTTGCAATTACTTGTTTGGATAATTGTAATACAAAGTTAGAATACAGGTGAAAGCATCATCAGAGCAGCAACAGATTATTTTGTGTTTTGTTAAATTTCATTTGTCGCATGGTAAAATATAGATATGTATAATCTTGGAATTTCTTTTTCATTCTTACATTATTGAACAAATTTTGACTAGACTTTAGTGAAATAGTTAATTGCATAAGATATTTTACGTGTATTTATTGTAACAAATGCAGGTTATTATCTGATGTCCAATTAAGTCGAAATAATTGGATCAAAGCTAAAGAAAGAAATTGTGTACAGCATTGCATCTAAGATTTTATCATTATGGTTCTTCAAACAACTATGTAAACGCTGTGTATTCATCCATTAGTTACTACATCATTATCTCCGATTATGACAATGTCCAAAATCGATGGTTAGGCATTGTGTGATAATACAAAATCAATAGTTCTAATATTATCGAGTAATCCATAGAAGAATGGTTCTGCGAACTTTTTCATCAGCATCATCCTTTGTTTTAGTTGCACATTATTTAGAATTCTTTTTCTATTATTGTTAAGATCCTAGCAATTTTCTCGGGCTCCTTCCTATGTCAGTCAATAGCTTTGATTGGCTATTATACAACTCAATAAAGTACGATTCTTAAAAACATCTTGTTTCCAAGTTTGATCAGTGTTAATATTGGATGGATTTTTTAGTGAACAAAAATAATATATAGTTTTCAAATACTATTGATGCGTTGTGTTTTTGTTAAAAGAAAGCAAATATTCTACTCTTATGTGACCTCTTACGAATTCATTTTTCTAGTGTTATGTTTATCCTCATTTTAGATCAAACAATGCCGTACATGATCGAAACGGTTGGAACAATCCCACGCGACTGCTAACGCGTATGCGAACATCAATCAGAGCTTTTTGAAGCACCTTCTATGTCATTTCAATCGTTGAAGAGTGCTACAAAAATATGAAAGACACTAATTAGCCCTTGTAAAAGTCGTTGGTAAAACAAAACGAGACAGAGACTTTCAACATCACCTACAGTCTCATCAGTGTCTTGTATCCGAGCGGCTGTATTTAGTGCTCTAGGATACCAAATAGTACTCTGTAGCTAAAATTGATTAGATGAGCAAGAATGTATTGATAGTGTAACGTTAATCTGTGAATTACTAATTTATGGCGTATTTCATATAGACTATGATGTGAAAACAGTGCAGACACAGTCTATTTACGAATAGTTTAAAGGTTGCTTTGAAGTAGTCGTAATGCATGGCAAAACAGATTGTATGCTAACTGTTCAAGTTATTTTTAAAATATCGACTGAGTTTCTGCGTTCAAGGAAACACCGTAATCACAGACAGTTTACGACCTATATAGTTACACTATTTACTACCATAAAGTTTGTGTGTTTTCACGTTTGCTGACTGAAAATGAGTCGTAAGAATGATTCGTTTTGCGTAATATGAAAGTGAGTAAATATTCAAAAAACAAAAGTTGCATAGCATCGAGGCAATGTAGATACGAATAAATAGAAGATCCATTTGAATAATGCTCTTTGAAGTGATCTATAAATTGAAAAAGTAATCGCTCGTTGTTGCAACTCATGTTCGATTGTGCACGTTACTGTCCGTAATACTGTCACTGATAGTAACAGTATTTGTGTAGTGTGATGTTTCTCTTCACTATTCAACAAATCACACTCATACTCATACAGCCACAATCATATCCATATCGAATCACACTCACGCCCACACTCTTTTGTGATAATCAGCAACTGAGATAAAGTACTATTGTTGCAGTATAAAAACATTATTTTCAATTGAATCTGATAAATCTTTGTTTTTCTTTCAATCACTCTAATAGAGAAAACCATTATTCAAACTGCTTTCTTGTTGCAGATATCTTTTCATAACATAAATTTCTTTTATAATATCATGGATTTATCATTTATAATATTACTGTCAGACTAGAATGAGCATGAGAAAACACCAAAATATAATTGTCATCCGGATTAATTATGCAGTTATTATACTCAAAGTTATATACAATTAGTTTACTATATGTAGTAATTCAGTTAATTGTGTGATTAGATTAAATAAATTGCTCATTCAATTCATTTCTTTTGTTTTAGTGATCAACGAAACAGAACAAGAGAAAATTCTTTTCCTGTATTGTGTATGACACTTTTGAATATTAGAAAATAAGATGAATATTTCTCCTATTGTGATAAAATATGAAAAAGATTTTTTTAATTCGCCTGTTTATTCATGCAACCTATCTCATTATTATGATGTTTTCAAGTTAAAACTTCACTAGAATAAAAACATTCGATAACATAAGACTAAATTCAATTAAATATCTTTTTTCAAGTTGTTTTCTTAAAAAATGTTTGTATAACAGCCCATTTACCATTTGTCATCCATTTTGGATCAAGTTTACTAACTTGCTCTACTAATTTTTTCTCGATTTCAACTTGTACATCTGCTTTACATGTTCTTAAAACAACTAATGATGTTGGTTGAAAACCACGTAATGCTGTTTCAAATCGTTCATTTAATGGCCATTGAAGATCACCAACTAATTTTCTATAATTTAAATCACCTTTAAATATAATTAATTTTGATTGTGACATTGTACAATAAAGCTCTGGAGAAATTTGTTGCATATATGAATAATCGTATGGTAAAGTAAAAAATCGATGTGTTTGAATTATCCATTGATCATTTTGCATATATTCTTTCCACCGTTTTGAGGCTATTTGCCATACGGGATTTGATGATGATTTATTTAATTGTTCTAAAAGCCATTGAAAATCGTTTTTAGTTGCATCAGATACAAACCATGGTAAACATTTTAAATGTAATATAATACGTGAACATAAACGTTTTGATATAAGAAAATCAGCAAAACATAAATCAGTTAAAAGTTCAAAACCAGCATTATCAAGAACAAAATCAATACAAACATCAAAATTTAATAAATATGCTTGTTGATCATAAAGATAATTAAAGACAGATGTTTGATGATTCATTAATATATGTGATTTAAGTTCAGTTATCTGATGAAATGGATCATGTTCCTGTGAACATTCAGCACCTGCTGATAATGATAAATCACATGCATTACCCCAGAGAGAAATCTTAGAAAAAAGAAATTTTTTTTTTTTCATATGATATATGTTTTTATTGAGAAAAATTTTTATACTTCCATATAATTGTAAAATTGTTGTTCGATAGTTGATTTATTATTCATAAGATCAATTTTTTGATCAACATCTGTATTCAATTGAGCAAGAAGTATATCTGTCGCTTTTGAAGATAAATGAAAATTATTTTGCTTCATTTCAATAAATGGATCAATATGTTGTAAATGTGTTCTAAAATATTGAAAGTTAAAAGAAAAAAAATATATGTATAAATATATACATACGTAAGAAAAAATGCTTCTGCAATCTTTCGATACATATAACATTCAACAAGAAGCCAACTACTTTGAAACCAACTAATTACTTTGCCTAAGAATATTCATTATTTTATAAAGTTTAATTTTTATTGTCTTACCTTGATCCATTTCTTTTTGAAGACATTCATTCCATAAATGAACATCATCAGTATAATTATCATTTAATAATAAGATAGGTTTATCCTATAGGTTTTTAATAATAAAAAAAGATAAATATATATATGTGCAATTTTAGTTTACTAACTACCGACGTCACAGACTTACGAAGGAAGCTCCTCAGATATTCTTTTCCAATTTCAATGATTTTTTTGCCTATAGATACTACATAGTGTTCTAATAGAAACCTTAAAATGATTCGGAATCTTATTTATAATTGATTAACCTATCAAATTTTTAAGATGCCTATTACTAGAAGCTTCAGGTTTTCGGAAAACTCATAATTTTGAGTTTTAATTTGAAACTTTGCACATCTAGAGAACTCAAATAGACTGACTTCTATAAAAAAAAAAACTCAGAAGCTTTGAACAAAGTCTCTTCAAAATATGAATATTTCAAAATATAGATCATTTTCCATAGATAGTATATACAACATACATTTTTTGACAGTTTCATATCTTGAAGAGACTTCAAAACTTGTGAATGTTTTTTGATGGAAGCTAGGCTAGTTAAGTTTTTTAGACACACAAAGATTTAAATCAAAATTCGAAAGCTTATTCAAATCTCAATAGGAACCTAAATTCTTTTAGAACTCTATTTAGTATGTATAGGCAAAATGTCATTGAAATCGGAAAGAGCGGCTCAAGAGGTTTCCTCGTTAGTTATAATTAGTGCTAAGAGCCTTCGAAAATGATACAGTACAAAGTTTTCTTTTCCCTCTCTGAAGTTAGTGCACACTGGCAGCAGTGTTCACTGAAGTATAGGAATACACCGTTACAAAAAGGTCATGTTTTGATATAGTTTGTGCCTAAATATTGCAGTGGATACGTGTTAGTAAAAACAGTGCTCCAGTGAACAAAAATGCCAGAGTAATCAATGTCCAGTGTATCCTATATCGGGAACTCATTGTTCAGTATTTACACCAACAATACTCTTCCGTAGATAAAAATTTGAAAAATCCTACTCGAGCAATTTCATATCGTAATTTATCCATTGCACTAATACATGATTTACATTCATTTTCTGCTACCTAAAAAATAATATCATTCTAATCAATAAATTACTTGATAAATAGAAACTTACATCACCATATTCTTTAATAATCTTTCCATGTTGTCGTGCAAGAAAATCCACGATACGTGTAACAATAATTGGAAGACGATCTTTCACGGTATTATAAGCAAATGATCTATTACATTAACTTATTTCAATCCATGTATATTAGAAAAGTATATAACATACTTTTCATTTTTAGCTGATAATGGTGGTGGTAATGCCATAAATATCTTTTTATCTGTTTGTTCTTTGAATAATAAATGCAAATAATAATCTTTTATTAGAAAAATTACGCGCGTACTATCTATAAGTAAAGTATATTCATCAGTTTGGTTTTGTTTTTTATTTTACAGACGAGAAAAAAAAGTTATGTAAACAAAAAAGACGAAGAAGAAGAAAAAGAATTAAATGTATTTATATTGATTTAATTTTTGCCTTGGATCATAATCATCACTCATGCGTTGCCAATCTTGTTCAGTTTGACCCACAACAAAGCCAACTAAAATCGAAAGTTTCAAAAAACGAAAAATTATTTTCTTAGAAAAAATATACCAGCTTTTTTATGCAAATGAAGAACATTTTCTTCAATATCAGCCCAACGAACTTTTTTCTTTTTCGATTGCCAATTTGGTGATAAATCATCCGATTGATCATCCATACTGATTGTTGTATTGTTCAAACGTTTTTCGATCGGTGGTGATGATTGATTTGATGATAAATTTCGTCGTTGATATAAACCATCGAGACGATCTAAATTTTTTATTAATTTAAATATTAATAAAACATATTGAGAAAAAAAAAATTTCGAAAACGAAAAAAAAAAGAACAACGAGAAAAAGATTTCATAAGGAAAATAAGAAAAAAAAAACATAGCATACCGGGATTTGTTTCCATCATTGCTTCCCATTTACTTTTCTTTGTAATCTAGAATGTTCATTTGTGTGCTTCATCGTCGATCGGATTCTTGCAAATTTTTCTCTCAGACAAACAAATATGTACTTACCGATTTCTCCCTCTCTCATTTTTGAAAACTCTCTATATCCCTCATATTTTAAAGTTTACTTATTCAAATTACCTGACTCTCCTCCTCTTCGATTTCATTTTGATCAGTCGTTGTAGTTGGAGGAGCATCGTCCATTTCAACCTTTAAAAATCAAATAGAAAATAAAAGAAATTTATTTATAACAGACCTCATCGATGGCATCCGATTGAAGTAACGAACGAATATCAAGAATTTCATAACGTAGTGGTAATTGTTCCCAACGTTTATGAATCTAAATGATTACAAAATATTAATAGTTTCTTTTTTTCGTTTCTTTTTTTCAAAACAATATTTTACTTGATCAATATCAGATAGAGAACGTTGATGAATATTTCGTTGTGCACATGTTTGTATATCATTATTTAATTCAACAAAATAAACTTGAAATTGATTTGCTTCAGCATAATCAGCCATATCACGAAAATGACTTAATTGTTCATTATTTTGATCAATAATTAAAAACGGATAAAAACGATCATCAATCGATTTTCGAACTAATTTTATTAAGCTTCGTCGATATGTTTCTTCCATTTGTGGATCATACTCATATTCCATAACCTGTTTTTTTTTAAATATTTGTATCAAAAGATTTTTTTTAATTTAAACGAAAATGAAATTTTAAAACATACGGATGTTTTTGTTATTTTGCCTGTTTTAGAATCTTTTGTTTCACGTTGATTTTCGGTGAGAAAATAATTATCAAGTGAAAGAATTTTCGGTTTATTAGTACCTTTTGATTGTAATTCTTCTTCATTCTATAAAGAAAGTTTAAAATATTCAATGAAAATTGTCGAATTTATTTACTTTGATTAAATCAGCAACATAAGATTTACCCGAACCTAAGCATATATATATATATAAATAACTATTTTGAGCAGAAGAAAATGAATGAAAAAAAAATACAAACCAGGTAAACCTCTCAGAAACACAATGATTTGCGGTGGTCGTTGTAATCGACCAGGTTCTTTAAGAAGTGTATCGATCTATAGAAAAACAAATAAAAACCTCTATAACTTTAGAAACTTTTTTTATTAATAATACTGGAATAAGTTGATGTTTTTGAAAAAGTTGACTAGTTAATACTTGTTGTTGTTGTTGTTGCTCATGACGAGTTGAATGTGTTAATTGAGAAGCGACAGGGTACGTATTACGATCACTGTTTGTCCAATGAGGACGGGAAAGTTGATTATTAAATGATTCTCTTGATGTCGATATACACGGTCCTGGTGGTACAGGTGGAAGTCGTAATTTCGTTCCATTATTTTCGATAAATCTTGGATTTGCCAGTTGAAAATGATGTTGTTGTTGTTGTTGTTGTTGATTACTGGGAAATGATTGTGTTGGAATACTCATCAGTGATGGAAGCTCATTGGCATTCTCATTGGTAAAATTTGTCTAGACGAAGAAAAAAAAGATCTAATGAATTGATTTTCCGTTCAGATTATATGCTTCATGTATGTCCAAATGAATTTTGAATATCCCACAGAGTTTGAGCCCTTGACTTATAGCTACAAAGACACTTCATTTTTTAGATATTTTTTATATGAACGCCACGGTCTCCTTGAGGAACACGAAAAAATTTATTTTCAATTTTCGACTAGAAGCTTAGTACAGAGACAGACCTTAACGAGAGTAACTTATTGTGAAAGCTTCAGCTCGATTGGTTTTGCTTCTTTCTTGAAATAAGAATATCAAATGTGCTGGTGTATATGAGCAATCTAAAGGATATACTTTTACTATAGCCGCATCTTACTATGGGAACAACGACAAAATCTGAAATATTCACAAGAAATTATTCTTGACAAGGACTGTTTTTGTGCAAAGTTTCAAATCTAAATATGAAAATCAGCTTTCTTGAAATTTTTGAGAGAGGCTGCGACATTCATTTAATAACTACCGTAAAAGTGCAATATCTGCAGTACAGTAAACTAGAGGCACGAACTCTTTTTACGGAACTCATAGCTCATTTGAATCTACATGATGCACATAGTCTTGACTCAAAAGTAATTAATCAGTTGGAGCATTTTCCTCGTCAGACGAACTTACTGATGAATCGAAATCAGATTCTTCAAGATAATGACTTTTTCGTTTTAATACAGCTGTACCACCACTGAAAGGTGGTTGTGGAATACCAGTACCACTACTTAACAATGGTTGTAAAACATTAGTACCACCACTGAACGATGGTTGTGGAATACCAGTTCCACCATTAAATGTTAGGTGAGTGATACCGGTACCACCACTAAACGACGGCTGTGACATACTGATACCGCCACTGAAAGATGGTGGTGGTGGGGGTAATGATGGTTGCATATGATGAAAAGTTGTTGGAGGTGATGGGATAAATGAAGACATAGATGTAGTAGATGGAGAAGGTGTAGATGAAAGTATCCAAGATTGTTGTGGATGTGGTCGAGAAGGTGTGAACATGAGGGGTTGTTGTTGTTGTTGTTGTATTGGCAAATTGCCAGGATATGGTTGATGAAAATGATGAATCTGTGTAGTATACATTAGAGATGGAGGTTGTACTATTTGCTGTTGTTGTTGAGGAAGAGGTACCATATGTCGATGGATAGGTTGTACATTATTAAAATGATCGACTATAATATGAATGAAAAATATTTAATTTTTTAATTACCAGAAAAAAACAAAATTGTTTAAAGTAAACTTAAGTTTCTAAAGATCTCTCTCTTTTTTATTTGAATATACTTATAAATTGTTTTCACATGTTTATTAATAAAAAGTTAAAAATTTTAGAAAAACAAAACAAAAAAAACTTACATCGATCACCACGAAATGGTATCATTCTAATGAATAGTTATTAAACATCTAGAAACAAACAAACATTTTATATATTCCAAGAAAAAACAGTTATTAAACACAATGATTTCTTTTTCTTGTTGCGTAAGTCATTTCATCTGTTTTTAAACATTTATTAATTTTTTCTCTTGCACGTGATTTCTGATAACGTTCTACGAAGTTTTCTTTTCGTAGTATGTTATTGTCTTCTAGTCTTAATGTTTTACTTTATAGTTTAATATAGTAAACAAGACTTTTTGTTTGTTGCTATACTTCATAGATCACAACATTGTAATATGTTTCATCATAATATATAACTAGAATCAGTTTTTCATCAATATCTAAATAAACAAAGAAGAAAATTCAATTTAAATTTATTTAGCAAAAAAATCAACTAAATCATTGTATTATATATGCTACCGAGTAGTTTCATTCAAATATGTGTATCTATTATTTTACAATAGTAATTGAATGGATGATGATAAAAAAAATAATTAGACATATATGCAAGTGTGCTGAAGTTTTAATTTTTTTTAAATCAAAAGACAAATGTACTCAAGATGATTTGATCAACAATTATAAGCAATCTTAAATTAGAAAATTGAGAAATTCAAATATATTTCTTATGGAAAGAAAACGATTCACAACAAAAAATATAATTTCTCTGATCAAGTAATTATTTTAGATCAAAAATTTTTTTTTCTTAATGAAACTTATCAAGATTAGTTCAGTGCCCGCATTTGAAACAAGATTTTATGTATTTGATGAATTTATTAACGCGCCAATCAATTTACAAAAAACAAGCATCGATGGCAACAAAAATTTGTTCAAGTACATCAACAACAGATCTCTATCAAAATCATGCAATTTGTTCAGATTGTTATTCTCAAACAATGACGACTGATCATAATGATGATGATTATGCAAATTATGAAGAAATTTATCTTCAGAAACCTTCAATATGTATTAATAAGAATAATCTTAAAAAATCTGACCAAACAGTATTATGTCGAATAAATCGTTATTCAATTGGTTGTTTGACAAAACCAGCTTATTTACTTACTAATTAATCAATAAATTTTATTGAAAATCAAAAATTTCCATTTGTTTCATAGACACATCGAACTATTAACTGTTGTTTTGTTCAAATAATTAAACACATAGTGAAAATCAAAGTAAAACTTTTCATTCGGATTGATTCGTATAGAATTCTTTTAGAATATTTTGACATTAGAAAAACATTCGCTCTTTTCAATTTCAACGCCTTTCTCTTTGATCAATATTGATTTAAATACATACAAAAGTATCAAATATCTATTTGTAGATTGACACTCAATGTGTCTGTCTAATTCAAATTAGGTTCAGACTAGAAAAAAAAGTCAATAGAAAGATTCTAAATATATATTTTTCATCATAGAAATGATAATGAGGCGAATTAATTGAGAAAGCAAAAACATACAGAAATCATCTAATATCATTCTCTTTTTAGCCCAGAAGCACGTTATAACAGAAGGATATTAAATGATTCTGTTAATGCATAATGAAATATTAGTAAAGTAACAGCAATGAGAAGTTTGAGCAGAAATCGTTTTTTCGTTGTTTTTTATTTGCAGTTATATAGAGTTCGTCGAGTTACCACTAAAAATATCGTTTTTGACATGTTCAACCGATATTTTTATAATGAAATTTAGGGTTGCTTATAAAAATTGAAACATGCTAAAAACACCAGGCTTCAATAGTCCCAATATATAGATCAGAATTTTCTTTAGATTTTATTCGTCCTATGATTAAGAATGAAAATAGAAAAAGCGATTTTTTTTCGATAAGATTGTAAAACACACTAATTATAGGTTCGTGTCCATAGATTCTGACCAACAGAATTTTAGTTCCAATTGAAACGAACATCATACTCAGAATCAGCAGAAAAATTCACGCCGAATAGTATACTCAATATTTAAAACTAAATTTCGACTTTAGGAGAACTATAGGCCAGATTATTCAAAATTAAAAGTATGATGAGGTAGAAGGACAAAAATTAGTTTTAAATGTTGAGTACACTACTCGATGTAGATTTCCCCTCCTGATTGTACATATGATGTTTATTTCATTTGGAACTAAAGTGCTGATGATTAACAGCTGTGCCTACAAACCTGTATTTATAGTGTTTTACAACCTAATCGAGAAAAAGTCATTTTTGCGACAATGCAAGGATACTCTTCAAAAATCATGCGTAAGTTTTTTCATAATCATATGGCAAGTAACAGAAAAATCTCGGATAAATATTGAGATTTGATTCTATCAGTGTATTTGAATGTTTACAAGCTTTGCTGATTTTCATAAGTTTTGCAATAAAAATATAAGTTGAATATGTGAAAAACAACTGCCAAAAAAGACTTTTGGTCGAACTGTAAATTCTCAACGCCTTACTAAAACTTTACATTTTACCACATAAAAAACTTACGATTATCTTTTTCTTTTATCGTCGATATTCAAATTGACCAATAGATCGAGTAATATCTAATGAAAAAAAAAACTAAATATAGGATTTCAAAATGAATCTTTCTTTTGTTTTTTTTTTAAATTCAACTTACAACAACTGACGCTAATGATTTAATTCTTTTGACTTTCGATAACATCTGCAAACATGATTCATAAACATAATATTCTAATAATCATTCTCTATTAATACTACTGTTGTGCTATTTTTATAAAATAAAACGATTATACACACACACACACAAATATAGGAATGATTAATTCTATCAAACAAACAAAAAAAAAGATTCTAAACTGTTCATTCTTAACGAACATCAATCTGTGAAATAATACTAGCATTATTATCTGCACCATTTGTTGTTTTTCGTAAACGTCTTAAACGTTCTTGAAATAATGTATTCATATGATAACGAAGTGCTGTACTACGACGACGAAGATCAGTTTCACATATATCATGATTTGAACCAAGACGTTGAGCATCTTCTAATGACATTTTTGTTAATTCTAATTGTGTACCTGATTCAGTACGTAAATCAAGACTTTTAGCCGATTTATCCAAAGGTGCAACACGAGCTGTATTAAAACCAGCTAAACAATGCTAAAAAATGTATAAGAAAAAACTAAATTGTTTGAGAAAAAAAAAAGAAAAAAAAAATTTTATTACATTAGCAAGAGCAACACTATCAGTCGATAAATCTGACAGATGAGCACGTTTTGGTGGACGAAATTGATATGTATTTGAATTCACACGATATTTTGGAATGCTAACACTATTAAAAAGAAGGTTTTTGTATTCAATTAAAATTCTTTTATAATCATTACCGTGCATATTGTGGTTCATATGCATTAGGTTCTTTACGTAATGATGCACAAATAGGACAACGACTTTGTCCATTAGTATCCGGATTTGTTGGAACAGTAAAAAGACGGTCATTAATCGTAAAACTATGTATACCTATAAGGAATAAGTAAATACATATATACATAAGAGCAAAATCATTCATTAGCAACTAGACATGTCTACAAGGTGATTTTTTTGTGTTCTATTCTTTTGACAAAAAAGGCATAAGAAACGAAGTGTCTTTTACCCTGCTCTACTCGATTCGCTACTGGAGAAGGGCATAGTACCCTACTGAACTGACTTACTGTCTTAACAAGCATAATTCGAAAGAAATAGAAAATTATTTTCATGCTTCTTTCAAACTTGTCAAGTTCCTAGTTTTTGTTTATTCTCATCGAATTTGAACAATAAATATCAATCAAGTTCATTGACTTTTCTTAAATCATATTCGATTTTTCACTTACACTATCAAATTCGAATTGTGTGACGATATTTCTTTTGTTTTCAAGTATTTTAGTGATTCTAATGATTATTTTACAGAGTATAAAGAAATCATCCTGTCCTGTTCCAGGACACGAGACAGATATCACGGGGAGCCAAGCCCGTGATCATGAGTCACGACCCTCCTTTCTGGTTCGTCAACATAAAAAAGAACTTTTCAGAAAGAGCTATTGCAAAGTTTCTGTTATTTGTTAAAAGTGTTGACGGCGGAGGAGGCAGATAGTCTGGCGAAGATTTTCCTATCCCTCCTCAGTGCTAAATCCCTGGATGTTCTCGACTATTTTAATATTTGTGACCACGCTCCAGTCACGGTCACACCCGTGACTGTGACTAACCGTGAGTCACGGCGGTTACTAATTTCTACTTATGTTCATACTAAAAGAACGTATTCAGAAAAATAATCTTTGTTTACGAATCAGAGTCAAATAAAAGGAAGGTATGGCATATATGTTTTTTATGACTCTATTTTTTTATATTTACAAGTATGACCATGTTGATAACCATCTGGCGGTACAAGTTCGAGTTCTTTTGAAAAATCTGTTAAATCAGCTTCACTAAATTATGCAGAAAAAAATTAATTTATTAATTAAATGTGTTTTGTTTTGTTTTGTACTTTGATATTGTATAGGATGTCGATGGATCTATATTATTCTTTCGAAACGATACTAATTCATCTACATATGAATCCGATAGAGAATTTTCATTATTTAACAATGATGATTTTTCATTATCAAGTAATCCAGCAACAAAATCATATCCAAGTAAAACTTTTTGACGATTATGAAATGATGTTTGTTGTTGATGTTTTTTCGGTGATATACTTGTATTTTTTCTTTGTTGTTTTAATGGCATATTTTGTCTTTCATGAATACGTTTCTATTTTTTGTTTTAAAGACAAAATTAGAATAAATCATTTTTATAAAACATACTTTGATTTGTTCAATATTATCTGTTGTCCAAACTTGTTCATGATTACTTGATGTTCGTAATGTATTGTAATAAACATCTCGATCATTACCTTCATCAAATAATGAACGCCAATGTTTAAGCTATATGAAATAGAAAAACGCTTAGAAAAATAAAGATAAAATTTTCAAAATTTACCTCATTCCATGGTTCATTTACTTTTTGTACAGTTTCTTGAGATTCATTCTTTTCTTCTTCTTTTTCTTCATCATCATTTTCATCATCTGTATTATATGAATAATTAAGTCCTTTTCGTCGTTGATCTTGAACATTTTTTAAATATTGATCAATATCAATACGAGAAATATTATCCGGAATATTAACAACAAATGGTTCAACTGAACTTTTTTCATCATTAATAATGTCTTGTTTTTTTAAAATTGAACGTGGTTTCAATTGATCAGTCGATGTCTATATTAAATTGCAAGAAATACATATGTAATGGATTAAAAAAAAACTCTTGTACCCTCATATAAGATTGATCATCATCATCAAGAAATGAAACACTTTTACTTTTTTTTAATGTACCAATTGTATCATTTGTTATTGTTTTTAATTGATTTGAAATCATCGCTTGCCTTACTTTAAGACGATCTATTAAAGAACGAGTTTGTTCCGCAAGATTTTCATTACAATTCATTTTGAGGAACTATTCTAGATATGCAATAAAAGAAGAAAAGGACAGAACAGAACAAATAATAAATAAACAGTAGTGAACTACATTTAACCAATCAAATAACAAAATAATAGATGTCTGTACATATATTTTCTTTGATTGGTTCAAGAGGAAATATAAATCGATCTCTATATTACTACTGTTACTCTATCGTGCACGACAGTCATTTGGTTCAAAAGAAGCAGAAAACAATCATTTAGTTTGAATTGATGTTCTCTATTTTGATAATCTTGTATCATTAATGTATTATTATTATTTTTTATTATGCCAACTGATTTAACTAACACTCCTGATGAACTATTTGAAAAATTTGTAAATGCTCAAACATTTAAAACAATACTTCATTCATTTGATGATTTATGTCGATCAATTCGTCTTGATAGAAAAATCATAGGTTATGGAAAACGATCATTATATAAATTTTTAACAAGTAAATTAACATCATGGAAATCAAAAAGTCTTTGGACAAAAATTGATAAACGTGGTTCACAAAAAGAATATGAAAATGGAAATGCTTGTGCTGATATGAAGGTAAAGAATACTTATAAAAACTCATCAAAATAATTATTTTCATTGATGTATTCTTATTTAAAACAACAAAAGTCATCTAAATTGTTTTCATATCTAGATCTTCTACTAAAGAATATTATGTAAGCGTGCGTGAACGCTTTCATTCATATTTATATGTTTTTTTAAAGAGTTTTTCCTCTTTTTTTTTTAATATTTTGCATGAACTTTTGTTCACCGCAGAAACAGCAACAACAAACAAACCAACAAATCCTTGCTTAAAAAAAACTTTTTGTCGACCCTGGATGCATGTATGCAGCTTTTTTTTCTTTTCTCAGCATGGTCAATTTCTGTTTTCCTTTGTTTTTTTTTGTTACTTATTACAATCACCGTTCATCATTGTCCCAACCATCAATCACTGCCAGTTCTATAATCTCTCTCTCTCTCTCTCTCTTTGGCTATCGTTGTATATAATATATATAAACATCTACATTTGTGTATGGTGTAAGATTACATTGGGTGTATATATATTCCCAGTAAAGGGAATGTAAGACAGAGAGAGAAAAGAAAATTGGAAAGAACGAGAAGCATTATATATACTCCAATATGAGAGTAAACGTATGGTAAGAAGAAAGAGATCATTCAATGTATGAATAAACAAAGAACATACAATGATCACTCGTTGAATTGTTTAATAGAAAAAGAAAATATATACATTTGTTTGAAAGACATAACAAAAAACAGAATGTTTTTTTTATAACATTAACTTAGTTGGCTTCCGTAAAAAAAAATAATAAACTAAACTATTGATGAGAAATAATTGAGAATGAAGAAACAAATTTATACATGTAAATTAAGAGGTGAGATTATATAAGGTTTCTTCTTGTTCTTTTTTTTTTATCTATATACAAGATAGAAACCGTTTGGTTTTTTTTCAAGGTATGCATTGTGGGTGCTGGTCCTGTCGGCCTTCGTTTAGCAATTGAATGTGCATTATTAGGTGCACGATGCATAATTGTTGAAAAACGAGACAGGTTTCATATGTTATATTTATTCTTGCATTTTAATATTGAATATATTTAAATTAAGATTTTCTCGTCACAATGTTCTTCATTTATGGCCTTATATCATAACAGATTTAAGAAATTTAGGTGCCAAAGTTTTCTATGGAAAATTTGCTACAGGACAAATTGAACATATAAGTTCGTAGATGAACTATTTACAGAAACCTTGTACATCAATAATTGATTTTTTTATGCATTTCTTATGTAGGTATTCGACAATTACAATGTATTCTATTAAAAATTGCACTTGTAATTGGTGTTGAAATCTATCAGAATGTAACATTTATTGATGTTATTGAACCAATATCGACTCAACAAGGTATCAATTATTTTCTATTCAAGATTTGTAAATTTCATTTATTTCGAATAGGATGGCGAGGTCATTTTAAACCTGAAACTCATCCAATAGTATCAACATATGAATTTAGTGTTTTAATTGGTGCTGATGGTTGTCGAAATTCATTAAAAGGTTTTCAACATAAAGAATTTCGTGGAAAATTAGCTATTGGTATAACATGTAATTTTATCAATCATAATACTCGAGAAGAACAAAATTTTCAAGGTTTAATTTTTGTTTATTTGTTTAAATTCAATGGATAATAATTTTTATTTTCTTGGTTTGTTTTTAGAAATTAGTGGTGTAGCAAAAATTTACAATCCACAATTTTTTAATGAACTTCAACAACAAACATCAATTGATCTTGAAAATATTGTTTATTATAAAAATAATACACATTATTTTGTTATGACAGCTAAAAAACAATCATTACTTGATAAAGGTGTTATACTTCAAGATTATCCTGATGCTGCAAGATTATTAGCAAGAGATAATGTTAATTTTATACAATTATGTAAATTTGCTTGTGAAGCTGCACAATTTGCAACAAAATGTTCACCACAATTTGCATTTGAATTTGCCGTAAGATAGTTTTGTCTATTTATAATGCAACTAAGACATCATTGAATATACATATGTAACACGACCAGGGACGGAGCTTAATTGAATGACTAATTTTTGAATCTCATCTTTTTTTTTATTATCGAGTATGATTTATTCAAAAATGTTCTACAACTTTCAAATAGAAAAAGGAAAAATCCTATTTTATCTATGCATCTTTTGTCTTCAACATAGAAAAAATTCTATTCGATCAATTTTTTTTTTAAGTCTGTATATACGATAAATTTTTTGTCTTATTTCATCGATTAAAGAATCATAGTTTTCGTTTTATTCAATCCTATTAAATATTGTTGTTAATAATGTCCGACTATGATTGTTTATTAAATATATGAAATTATCTTTGCACACATTTCTATTGATTCTTTAATGTGTGCGTAACGTTGCACTACCTTGTTGATAAGTCGAATCATTACTAAGCAACCGTTTTGATTTAGATTGTGTGTATGTAGAAGAATAATTTTAATATTATGTTTATGTGACAATGTTTTATCAAGTTTAGATATGATTGAAGAGATGTCAAGCAATTTTATGAAGGACTTAAACACACTGTTATTTTTTTTTTTTGGATATTTAATAGAGCTCTTTTTTTGGTTTATGTCACGACGTTCATTCGTTTCCTGTCGATTTACAGCGTATAGACACGTTCATTTTGATGATTAACTAGTCCTTATAATAACCAACAAATTTTTCTCTGTGAATGAAACACTATAGTGATGATCTATTTTGATATTTTTTATAGTTAATATGCAAATGAGATTTTTTTTTGTTTTCATCATTTAACTTTGCTTGAGTTGTAATACGATAAGCACGTAAATGAATATTGTTCTTAACTATGCAACTCATCCTTATTGCATAAACATCAGATGACCTAGTCAATTGTTTCGCACGTTGACGACCATTGTAATCTAATTCTTGGCTTGTGTGTGTATCTAAAATTTCTTGTTTGTACAAGGCTAGATTTACTAATCGATTTTCATCCATTTCTTCCTAATAAAATTTTTACCATCACTGAACAGTACATTCATTGTCTATGCTTGGTAACTGTTGGCTAATGTAGAAGGACGGCATGTCACTATCAAAAGCACTTTCCCAATTTTTTTCAGATTTTATATTTTTTATTAACTAAAAGCACTTATAGAACTGTAACATGCTATTATATAGCTCGTATGTGTTTCTGACATGTAACATAAGAATGAATGAAGAAAGACAATGGGGAATGCATTGTGATTGACTTATACTCAATCATTGATTAAAGCCTTCGACATGACTCTTTAATTAATGGAATAAGAAAAAGAATTGCTTGTATAGACAGAAAAAAATGATCGTATTCAAAGCATAAAATAATGCTTGCATAGAATTTATATTCTGACAACAAAAGATGCCTACATACATTAAAGATCTTCTTTTTGAAAAGTGTAGAACTTTCCATATGGCATCCTATGATTTATTTATTTCTTATTAAAATAAACTCAATAATAAAAAAATACAATACAAAAATTGATCATACATTTATACATCAACTATTATGTTTTTCAATAGTGAAGATTGATTGTAGGGGAACATTACAATCTGAATTTTGTAAACTTTCAATAAAATCGTGTTAAAACCTTTAAATTATAGTCATATCTTTTTCAATTGGAGATCGATTCATATGTGAATAATTAATTTAAATATGCCATATAGACTGGAGTTGTATAAAATGGATTTTTTTTTGACAAAGAAATGTATTCAGATTTACATGTGAAAATATCTCTATGATGAACGGCAAACATTTTTTTTTTGTTCGGTCTTCTCCACAGTAGAAAACCTATTCTATGTGGATAATCGTTTAATGTTACAGAATCTTTTATGACATTGTCTCGATATTAGGAATCAAAATTTTGCAATACAAAAATCTGAAAAAAAAACTGGTAAATGATAAAATCGAATCCTCAGACTGATAGTCAAAATTTTTCTTTTTCAATATTTACAGTATCAATAATGTTCATTGGCTAATTGATGAGAGACATTGACTTCATAGAATATACTTTCGAGAAAGAAAATGTGATATACTTTAGTCACTATAACAATGATTTCAGAAGAATAAAATTACAAATTTTTCAAAAGTAAGTACTTAAACAAGCTCCCCTGAGTGTCTACTAAAGCGACGTTATGTACTATATAAAATTTATTAGCAATCGATTTCTCAAATAAATTTTTGTTCTGTATCATGTGAAAACATATTTCTTTTAACTTTCCATATAATAGGAAGATCATCATGGTGCAGCTGATGTACAAATGTTTGATTTTACATCATTATTTCATGCTGTTAATGCTTCACGTATTATTGAACGTAATGGTAAACAAATTTTAATGGCACTTGTTGGTGATAGTTTACTTGAAGTAAATTAATTTAAAATAAATCTTTTATTTTATACATTAATATATTTATAGAGTTTTTGGCCAACTGGTTCTGGTATTGGTCTTGGATTTTTTGGTTTATTTGATACAGCATGGTCTATATTAAAATTTGCTAAACATGAACATCCACTTAAAATTCTTGTTGAACGTGAAAGTATTTATATGTTATTATCACAAAGTACACCAGAAAATACGAAAAATAATTATCAATTATATTCAATAAATCCAGCAACACGTTATCAAAGTTTAAATTCAAAAAGTTGTACAATTGATGAAATTCGTTATTTATATGATTCAGATAGTATACCAACAATTGATATGAATAATAATCATGTTACATCAAATAAAACTAATCAAACACCTGTTCGACGTGCACAAAGTTTTAAACAAGCTCCATCACCATTGTCATCATCATCATCGAATGGTAAGTGAAAATTAAAACGAAAAATTATTTTAAATTTGCTTTTTCTTTTTTTTAAAGGAAATAGTCAACAAAACACTTTATTTGAATGGTGTGAAGAAATTGTTGATTCCTATAATATTAAAATAAGAAATAACTCAAAATCATTTCAAAATTGTCTTGTTTTTTGTGCTCTTGTACATTATTATCGGCCTGATTTAATGTATGTAAAAACAAAGAAAATTTTTTTTTTTTGTATTAATTTCTTTTATTTAAAGTGATTTCAAGTCACTTCAACCTGATCGTCCGATTAGTAATTTTCAAATTGTAAGTTTTACTTTTTCTATAGATAAATAAATTATTTTTTTTTTTTTTTTTTTGTGGTCTTAGTTATTCGATATAATGCATAATCAATTATCATTACCACTCGATCGTAAATTACAAAATAGTCTTATTCTATCAATGAAAAGTTCGATAGAAGAACGTATACGTCAATCATCAATTGTTATTCTTCAATTATTATATACACATTTTCATCATGATCATCATGAACAACAATTACAACGACGTCGATCAAGTATACCATCACTTGAAATTTCATCACCAATATTACAAAAATCAAAGAAACCAATAGAAGATACTAATAATATAAATACAAATACAACTAATAATATTAATAATTCAACTGTTAAAGTCAGCGCTCTTGTTGCTCATTATTCAAATGGTGATTCATCATCTAATGTAGGTGTTGATCTTACGCAAAAAAAAAGACAATTAGACATTCATATTCGAATATACAAAATGAAACGAACTATAGTGATGCGTCAATATGAAAGCATTTATTAAAGCTTTGAAATTGACTGGATAAATATAAATTAAGCTTATGATTAAATTTGTTAAAAAGGAGTTACTAAAACATCCAGGTCGACTGTTCTATAAACAATATATTTATAGTGTTCCCTAGAATTATTACATATGAATATCTATTGGCATAGTTATCAAAGAAACCAAGCCAAATTTGTCCGGGCAATATGAGTACAATGTAAAAATGTGATTTTATAGCTGATATCGAGGCAAATCGAGGATATTTCATAGGCATAAAGATTACGCTTTCTTATCTCTTTACAGTCTGGAAACTTATGTTTTTTTAGCAATAGTTATAATGGCCCACAGAAATAGATCTGAGAAATATGTTTGATTTCCTTTGCTAGAGGTCGAGGCGATCAATAATGACGAGGCGTAAATCTCTACCATTATTTTCCAGCATTGAAATATTAATAATCTTCTCTTTATATTTATCCATGCATCATAAAATTTCTGTGATGCATGAATTTTTGCATCATAGATATAATTTTATTTAAAAAAAAAAAAAAAAAAAAAATTTTTTTCCTTTAGAATCATAATTTGATTAATTTACAATGTGAACGTGCACCAACATTTTGTTTCTATTGTAAAGAAAAAGTTTCCATACAAGATTGGTTTGTTGTTGAGAAAAATGTTTTACATGTTAAATGTTTTAAATGTGATACATGTCATTTACAATTACGAAAAACAAATTATCAAGTATTGATTGAACCAAATACAGGAAAAATATCATTTCATTGTCGATATCACAATTTGAATAAACAACAAAAAGTAAAATACATAAAAAAAGAAGATTTCTTTATTTACATGTTTTATTTTTTTGTTTTTTGAAAGGATGATAATAGTAATAATCTACTAGGACTTTGTAAGTATAGTGTTATTGTTTATTTTTATTTATTCTAATATTTTTATCGATATAATCTTCTCCAATAACCAACAAATAATTGTTTTAAATCCCGACGAAAACGTTTACCAAGAACAAAATAAAGAATAAAATTTATTGAATGATTTATAATCATTAATAAACGTGCAAGTGTATGAAGAAGAACAGTAATAGAATCAGTTTTGTCAGGTGTTATTGAATTTATATAATTACTTTGAAGTATTGGTGATCTTGTTTGTAATTTAGTTGACATAATTAAATTAAAAACAACAACTGGTAATGTTAAAACTAAAAATGAACATGAAACAACTAATAATAATATTGTTAAACGTGTATGATTTGAACTTGATGTATTTATTGATTTATGACGTATTGATGTGATTTCATATTGACGACGTGAACGATTTTTCATTTCATATGATATTGTTGATAATTCAGTTGATGTACTTGAGAGTTTAGTACTAGAACGTAAACGACGTTCTTCCGATTGACCTATTTATAAAAATACAATTAAATTAAAAAAAAAAGAAATACTAATAATAACTTACTCAATTGTGGATGTAACAGAATAACTAATGGTTTTGTTTCGGAAACAGATTGAAAACGCCGTAAATGACGATGTTGTTTTCTATTCATCTCAATTGTTTGATGACTTTCAGAACAATGTCGATGTTTTGTATCTTGTTGATTTTGTCTTAATGTATAATTACTAAATCGAAACATACGTTGTCGAAAACGTTGTGCATCAATTAAACGACGAATAATTAATGAATTAAGTGTAACAATTATCAAAAATGGTATTAAATTATAAAATGCAAAATCAATATAAACCCATTTTTGATCATAACGTTTACCTGTGACATCACATCGAATCATATCACGTCTTTCATAATTAATAGATGTGTCATTCTTACATGCTAATACAACGTGAACACTGTCATTTTTATGTTTAACAAATGTGAATATTGGACTATCGAGTAAAAAGAAAAATATTATTAAAATAATTAATACTATACGTGTATGTGTAACAGTATTAATTTTATGTGCAATTAGTGGATATTGTACAGCAATAAAGCGTTCAACAGTAACACCAACAACAAGACCAGCTGATAAATGTGTAGTAAAATTTCCAAAGAAATAAACCAAACGACATGAAAAATCTGATAACATTCTTATATCTAATTTATTATTTATTTGTGATATCCACTCAGGTAGTGCACTAATTAATAAAAATAAACAATCAACTAATGCTAGTAATGTTAAATAAAGACTAGCTGGATAACCACTACGACGAGCATTAATAAACATAATAAAACATGATAATTTATTACCAAAAATACCCATTAAAATAAATAATGGATAAATATATAAACGAATATGTGTTGCAATGAATATAATAGAACTGGAATTTTCTTCTTCAGCTCCATTAGTTGTTGATGTTGCTGGTGTAACACGACATTCACTCTTTTCATCATCATTGTCGTTGATTGGAAATATACAATAAGCATAGTGACATATTGATTGTATACTAGCAGCATGTCGCTTTTCATGAGTAATATTCAATATGAATCGTACGAGTTCTCTTGTTGGATTATGTGTATTACCGTCCATTGTGTGTACTTATTGTTGTCGTATTTTGCTTCCGTCACTGTCTAACTAGATACCACTGTAGTCTGAATAAAGAAAGAAATGATGTGATAGAAAAAAAATAGAAAAAGACGAACGAGTTTGTTCTTCTCCTCGTCTTCCCTTCCTTTTTTTTTTTTTTCTTTTTATCCCAAGTCTTTTCACTTTCATTTAACTAAAAATATGTCTTTCGGTTCAATAACATGGCAAACAAACCGTCTTTTCTTAATGAACGGTTACCATTGCTAAATTTTTGATGTGTCGTCAAAGATATAAAAAGAAACTAATCTCGAACAAGGGCATTTAAAATTGGATGTAGACAAACACAAAAAGAAAAAGAAAATCTTTAAAATATTTACTATATTTAATAGGCCTTGATCAAGACAAATGCTCATTATCATTTGATGAAACAAATGTTGCTAAAAGACAACAAATATTTTCAACTCGTCATTTAGATACTACAACAGCTGATGAGCGTGTGTCTTTTAGTCTAGAAAAAGAACTTCCAGATGATGATAAAGATGAAATTGTTTATAGTTCGACATCAAATATGATGTGAGTACTTTTCGTGATCATTTAGATTCTTATTTTGTAAAGTCTATTCATTTTAATTGAAAGAAATGATAATAATAATGATGATGATGATGATGATGATGATGATGAACAAGTATCAGCAAAAAACAATGGTAATTCAAGCAATTCTTCATCAGAAGAAACAACTGATGAAGAAGATGATGATGATGATGATGATGTTGATGATGAATCGGACAATGAAGAAGAAAGAAACAATGAAGATGATGATTCAGTGTAAGTTTTTTATTTGTTCTATTTTTTAATGAGATATTATATTTCAACCACATTAAAGAACCAAAAAACGCAATAGAAACTTTTGCTCTTCTTTTTTCTTAAATATTTTTATTCATCAAATTGTCTATATATATATATATATATATTTGAACAGAGGAAAAAGAGAGATGAAAAAATATGTTTAATGTTTGATAAAACCTGTTATTTCCGTATGTTAATTTTCTATCTAAACAAAAGAAAGCTATTTGCGTCAGGATGCATGAATAAAAAAAACATGAACAAATCTATTCATTTGAGTTTTTTTTCATATGTTAATTTTTGATGAAAATAAACAAAGCTCATTGATAAATAAAAAAAAAACAAATGGATCTGAACATTGCGTGACGAAAAAAGCAATAAAGGATTACTCATAAATTTCTATTGTGTCATATAATCAACAAATTGTTTTGATTTTCGTTAATTATAGGCTAAAATTAGATAAGTCAAAAAGCAATTCAGTCACTGAAATATCCAAACGAATTCATGATAAAAAAACATTTGCTGAACGAAAACAATATTTAAGTATTGGTAAATTAAATTAAATTTTAATCATAAAAATTTTTATTTTATACATTTATTCAATTAGATTCTGGTCATATTCAATCAGAATCTCCATCTCCTGTTGATCTTTCACCATCATCAATATCACCAATTAATCAACAAACATTGACGTCAAAAAAATCAGATACGATAACATATGTAAGTTAATATAATATTAGAAGGAAAAAATTCGTGATTTTTTTAAATGAAATATATTTATGAACCCTTAGGCGACTCATCATTTATCTGATAGGAAGTTGTTATTGTCACGTCAGGTTAAATAATTTAATAGGCTAACAGAATACAAGAGATTTCCTTATTCAAGTCAAGGGATGTACAGGTCAATTTGCCGACCACCGATGTCACCGCCTATATGCACATAGTGCATACTGACTACATGGGTCACTGACACATTGACATCAGCGTTATAAAAAAAAGGAATATTTTGATAGAGTTGATTTACAACGAACACGCGTGCCGGTATGATCAATGTACCCTGTGAGCTCAGCATTGGTGACGAATTGTTCAGTATTCATACCAACAAATTATGTCCGTTCCAAGTTTTCTAATTAAAATTTCTTTTAGTCATATTTTCGTGCACCTTGTCCTGTTTGTCTTGGTTCAACCTATGATGATATATCAACTATTGAAATAGGAAAACAATATTATCATAAAACATGTTTACATTGTTATTCATGTGAAAAACAATTAAAAGAAAATGAATATAATTATCATGATTTATCATCGGATGGTGCATATACTTTTTATTGTACATTACATTTTTGTAAAAGTCGTCTTAAACAAGTAACAACAACATTAGCAGCAGTAACTCAACAAGGTTTGATATTAATAATCTCTTCTTTTTGTTTCTTTTTTTTTTTTTTTTTTATAGAATTACTTGAGAATAATTGATTAGTTTCTTTTTTCGGCATACTTTGATTGTCATTAAATATTCAGATTTAATGAATGACAAGTCTTAGAATAACAATATAACAATATAGAATAGTACTTGATAAGAACTACTTTCAAGAATTTATTTTTACTATTCATATCAATATATTCCTTAGACAAATTAATAAGAAGAATTTATTTCACTATGAAAATAATATTACGTCATAGAAATTAAAATCTGAAATATCATTCTTATTTCTTTTTTTTAATAAATTATTAATGTCATCTGAATATTTTAAAGACAGACCAAATGAACACTATTATTGGTTTTATTTATAGTAGTACACGATTAAAGTATAGATCATGTTGATTATTCATATTCCGACATTATTATTTGATAATTATCTAATGAAATTTTTTTAAAATAATACCAGACTTGTTATTTTTCTCTTGTGAACTATTATTTGTCATATTCATTCATATGAAAAATTGCGCTAGTTTTTTTTAAATATTCGAATCAAGGTTATTCAGTTGATGTTGCGCTAGATTAGTAACAGACATGACATAAACAGAATTTTGATAGATTAACGCTTAGTTTCAAGTATGGTTCATTAATATTTTGAAGATGAAATATGTTTCTGTCGAAGGCAAAGTTTTGACAAGTTGACTGACATATTTTTGTGATATTAGATAAGCTTTATATTTTACATGTTCTTATTAAATCTGCTCGACATTATATCTTAAGTGAAAATCTTCTTTAGTACAAGCATTCAATTATTTTTGTAATGCTATTAAATAAGATTAGTACTATTTGTCGTGTTATCTTGTCTATTTCAAGGTTCTTAACTAAATCTATTAGAATTATATCACAATTCAACATTGTCTTTTTTCTTTTAAATACATAGAATCCCAATCAAAAACTGCTTATCCGAATTTAACTAAATTACGCAGCAATACAAATACACAATGGCATAATAATCTTCGTTTATATCCATCATTAAAAGATGCTCTTAGTTCAAAACCACACCCACTTAATGTTGTCAATATATCTGATAATAAAAAGCAACGACAAACTATTGGTTTTGAACATATTCATCAATCAATTTCGAATACTACAAATAAAAAATCTTCACCAATACTTATTCGTAGTAAAACATTTGATGAATCTTTATCGATACAATTAAGTGACAATGATGAAAATTTTAATATTAATTCCAAACAAACAATAAATGATTTAGGTAAACAACGATTTAGACGACGTGGACAAAATCGTCCATCATCACCAATACCATCAACAACTTCACAAATAATATTAATAAATAATTTAGAACAAAATGAAACAAATTCAATATCAACAATAAATCGAAAAAAGAAAAAAATTCTTATACCACAATCAAGTTTAAATTTATCATCATCATCATCACAATCATTAGATGATGAACGAAAACGTTCATCGAATGAACGTCGTCGACAACGTGAAGAACGACAAAAGGAACTTGTTCGTTTTCGTCGTTCACAAGAAATTCAACGTGAACTTGAAGAAATTGAACAAAAACGTTTTGAACTTGATAAACGTCATACAATAGCACGTCAAAACTTCAGTAAAAAACAACAAATTTATTCATTATTTTTTTGTTTTGTTTTGTTCAAACTTTATCAATCAAATAGGTTTATCAACAAATGATGAAAGCAAAAAGATTTGGTGGGAAAGAGAATGTTTATGTATTGTACGAGAAAGAACAGCATTACAACGTACAGAAGATGAATTATCAATGGCTAAACGTGGTTTAAGATTAGAAAATGATCGTGCACATGCAGAAAATGAATATAGGCAATTAATTAATTTACCAGGTAATTTATACTTTTAATAATTCAAAGTGTCTGCTTTTTTTTACGGAAAACTAAGTAAGGTATCATTAGACAAGATAATATATGTCAGAGAACTTTTATGGAGCCTAATGATATCTGGGCTTTTGATAGATCATTAGGGTTATAAACAAAAGGGTTAAAAGGTTTTCAACTGGCTTTATGTTTTTCAATTTATAGAATTATCTTTCATTAATTCACATCAAATGTTTAATACTCTTAAAGACTTTTAAACATTTGATCTGTCTGATCTCATTAGTTACTGACTTTTTTAGTATAAGCTATGGACATCAATAAAAAGCAACTTAACAAATTGAGAGAAATGACATTAGTCGGCAATCTTTTTTCTTACGAGCACACAATAACCTATCAACAACTAAAAGATCATTAAGTGAAAAAAAATACTTCAAGTAGTTCTGTGTTATATTCTGTTTTCAAATATTTAATATTTTTCAAAAACAATGGGTATTAGTATAGAGTATTGAATCATACATAACATAGAATTGTTTTATGATTACTTGAATATGTACATCTCTTTTCTTCGGAAAATGATACAATATATTAAATTATTTTTATATTGGAAAAAGTTTATGTCAAGATTTCCGGAAATTTTTTCCTCCATATAAATATATATATAGAGAGGTCAATAAACCTTTTTATGCATTTTTCTCTGGAATCAATTCTCTTTGATAAAAAAATAATGATGTAGATTACAAAACGATCATAGAATAATTTATTCCAAATCAAAGATGTTTTAAAAATGACAGTGCATTATTTATTGTATGATGCATATACAATTTTTATTTGTATTATCTTCCAGACCGACCTCGAGAATTTTACTTATTTTTAGCTTTGATGCAAAGTTCAGTCAGTACTGAAGTTAAAATAAAACATTATTTAAATTATTTTCTTGTATATGTTTTCTATCAATTTAGATGAACTTAAAACAACGAAAGATAAAGAACGTGAAGAACAACTTATAACAACAATTGCAAAATTAGTTGAAGCAAGAAATAATTTAACAACTGAACTTGATCAAATGCGATTAAGGTACAAAGAAATAGCAAAAATAAATAATTAGATAGACTTATAAATAGAATATAAAAAAAAAATATCTTTTGAACTCATATTTACTTGATGATATTATTTTTGTTTATTATTTTTATTAATCAAATTCTTTATCTCATAAATCATTTTTTCAAAGGGTTAACAGCAACAACTTCTAAAGGTGAGAATATTTGTTTAACATCTGATCTAGATAGGATAAATCCATTAGTTCCCAAATTTTTGTTATATTGATCAAAACATTCTTCTTTTGTGTCTAGTTTGCATGTTTGTCATCCTTCTATTTCCGTACGTGTTGTCTCCTATTTTGCTCACATTTTAGTTCTTTCTTGATAATTGTTCGTGTGAACAGATCATTTTCGCTGTTCGTCGGCTAATTATAAACATCAAATTCTATTACATTATATTTACTTCATGTCTATTTTTAGGGAACTACAAGAAGACGAATGTCTACGTCATGTCTTCCAGCTTCATGGAATCGAACATCAAGCGACGGATGTTCCCGTATGTGACACTCACAAGGATATTATTTAATTCACCATTCATTAATTATTCGAAAATGCCTTAGTTTATTATGTATTAATGATTTCTTTTTTTTTCTTCTTCTTTTACTTGATTAATAGTGAGCTTAAGCATATACGCAAAAGAAAAAAGCAAAAATTTCTAAATCAGTATTTTTCAATGTACTTCTTTTTTCTTTCATGTTTGCAACATATTCTACTGTACACTTGTCGTTTGTTGTTGTTGTTGTTGTTGTTTTTTATACTGATATATCTTAATAAGCATATCCTCACTTATCATTTTGCTTTTCTCTACAAATTTACATTACAAAAATTTCTTTTTTAATCGAATGCAATTATCCTGTGAAAATAGAAACAAAATTTGTTTTTTTTTGCTGATGTTTGTTATTAGGCCTTGTAATTCATTATGCTTGGTTTGTTTTCTCGAATAAAAATACCCTATGATTTCATATTTAATCTAATTAAAAAAAAAGAAAATACTTTTTTAAAATTTCATCGTAATTATCGTACAAGATTAGAGGCATTTCTGTTATTTTTATATTGACATTAGCTATTTATAATTTATAATGAGTATATAAAAATGGAAATCATTATACAAGATATTTTTGTATAAATTATATTTATCTACATAGTCTGAAATTATTTCCAAAACAAGTCATATTTTATTTATGAGTATAACTAGCATCTAACTTAATAAATATTAATAATTTCTATGGAAATTTTTTATGTGTACGGATTAGCAATATTCTTAATAATAAGGAGATTTCTAATATGAAATATATTTTTTTTTTATTGCGAATACATCAATGAAGAAAATTATTTTTCATAATCATCTTATTATTATTATGAATTTTTCCTAGTCACGTAACTAAAACAAGAAAAATAGACTATAATGATTATATAAAGTCAAAATCTCTATGAATCCATTATCTTATATTTCCACAGGATTTTGTATCACTATCAAACAAAAAAATGTGCGATAAAACAGTAATGCATACCTGATGAACAATATATGTATATGTTTAATGTGCGTTGAGTTTGCTTAGATAACATTGGCAGCAGCATTCATCAAAGGACTTGATTAAAAGTTCTTGTAAATAATCAATGTTTTCTCTTGCATGAGGACCAAGAGGATAAAACTTCCAAAAATATTCTAATCATTACATTAATAACTATATATTCGCTGCTTTAGGGTTCCAAGTTAATCGTTGGAAAAGGAAAACTTGCGTGAAAACATAGTAAATGATTCAATCAAGCTGAATTAAATAAGATATTATTTACGTATTTGGTACCGTACATTCTTATAAATACTTTAGTTGTTATTGATGAGCGAAAAAATATCCTAGGACAACATTATTACGTTGTCGAATGAATCATATTTATTTTTATTAGAATCTACACGGATATTTAGTATAATGTTTCGATTCGACTTTGGACATCATTAATAAAAGAGAGCTTCATTTTTTAGTTAAGAATTAGTTTTTTTCATATAGGACAACAGTCTTGAAAAGAATGCCTTGAATATGCACTTATATATATATATATGAGTATTCTTTAATTTTATTATGATCAACTTTAATTAGATGATAAGTAGGTCAAACAATAATTGAAAAGATCAAAGGAATACTATCATTGAGTACATAGCGACCAACTTGTCCAGTCTATGAATTAATATATTACGAAAAACTCTTTATTATTAATTATCATGATAAAATCCACATGATTAAGTCTTTTTTTCTCTGTGCAACAATCTTTTGAAATAAATAATTATAAGAATTTTCAAAATATGACACTCTTTTATTGACGATACAGTAATTTGTTATATTAATCATACACTTTTGCATGAGATTCATTCATGCGTACTTTTTTTTAAATAGATATTTCGTGCTTTTGCTTGACCTTTTATTTTGTTATGTCGGTTCTGTCTCGTTAATGTAAATATTATACACAGAAAAATGTTTTACTCAGTAATAGCGGCTTAGGTTTTTTTCTTTATTTGGGGTATGTTACTTCTTTTTTTCTATTTTTATTGACATTTCGAATATGTTACAAAATAAGAAACAGATAAAATCTCATATTAATACGAAAATACAATTGAATGATGAAGTCATTCAAACGAAATCTCTGGTGATATTTGAATCCTTTAGAAAAAAAAGTCTTTTTTTCCTTTAAATATTTACTTTACGATAAAATTTCATCTAGCCACCTTTTTTTTTACATCGATTCCGTTCAAATAGAAAAAAAAATCAGTTTATTTACTGAGAAACATTCTACTAAGACGATTGATGTCAAAAATTATATGGGAATAATACATGCCATTCTATTTGTTTTAGTGTTTGTCTTTGAATTCTTTTTCTCATCTGTGATTGTATACAGTTCGATGCATGTAAGTTTCTATCTTCGATTTTTCTATTGTTTCATCAGTTTTATTATCTATGATATATAGCAAAACGATTTGAAGATAATTTCCGAAGCGATCAACATCAATGAAGTCGATTATAAACGATCTATTTCTGGTGAATATTGTCGTGTATACAATAGCATTTATTATTCATTACTAAATCTTATTGATACTATTATTAGTTTTGATATTCTTTTGATTACTATTTCATTCATATTATCATTTGGAAATATATTAAGTAAAGATCCATATATGAGTAAAACTTATCAAATTCCATTGCATTATATAGTTTATTTTCTATTGGGATTTCTTTTATCATATATGTGCTTTAAAAAAGTACAAAAATATCACTCATTATATCGTCATTTGCTGATTGTTTGTTCAATATTTGTTCTTACATTTGGTTTCTTCTTTTTTCAATTAACTTATAATGAACATAATTTAAATTTATTGATTCGTATTTGTCTTTCAGCTGGTATTAGTATCTTTTTAGTTTGTGTTTATTCATTACATTTTTATTATGAAAATGGAACTCGCTATTGATTAGTTTACATGATATTCTATAACATTGAAATTTATTTATAATTTTTGTATTTTACTGGTATTCATTAAATGATTATAAAAAGAATAAAAATATTTTTCATAAAAATAAAAAATTCATACAATAAAAGTTGAGGTTAAATATCAAGACTAATTAACTTCTGAGATGCGATACAATGTGCATATTTTGTTTTTTGATAGAACATTAAAAAATGAATATAAACTTGTCAGATATCAGTATAAGATTAAATCTATTTTCTTCGTGTAGTAAACACCGAATATTTTTTTTTCGATTGTATCTCTTTATCTGATTATTATACTAATTACATGTGACTATCGATCTAAAGAATATCATATATAATTGATCACATGACAGTCTTTTAGAAAGAAGTGAATAGGTTATAAGAGTATCTTCTTATATGATTATCTTTTGTTGTATTTATCGAAAAAAATGTAGAATCCATAACTGTTGAACAATCCAGTGACTTGATATTCTTGTTTATTTATTTTTTCGTAGAATAAGATATATATATATATACAACTGACGACAAAAAAAGAAATATAATTGTAATTAACAAACGTTTACGACGGAAAAAAGTAATGAATATTAACTTGTATGAATAGATCCAAAATAAAATTAAAGATCGACACAAGTCTAATTTTCTTTTTCTTCGGAGACAGTGTTGTTCGTTTTTATTGTCATCTTCTTTAATATTAATTGAAGTATCTTTATTGATTTTATTATATTTAATATACATTAATCCTTTAATTCGCAAATTCTGAGCTTTATTAAATAAATATCCATTAATCGATTGACTTTCGTAACTTAATTTATCATCTTTCATCATCCATATTGGATATGTATCATACCATGTTTCTCTTAATTTGTTGACTATTTTCATATCGATTTGTTCACCAGTTTTAATCGAATCAATAGCTCGAGGGAAAAGTTCTGCAAGAAATTTACACTCAGTCGACATTGTACCATTCGAATGTTTGTCAACTATAACTGCATGTGTATTACTGATAATGCAAAATTTTTGATCATCTAGGATATCAAGAATATGAGTAACAATTAATTCAGATGTAATTTTTGGTATTCTTGTTTTCGACATTGGTGTATAAGCTAATGGTGATATTATTTTATTAACTTTGAGTTCTTTTCCCCAATAAACCCAATATTGATCACCATCTAGATCAGACCCGGCAATTTCATTTGAATGTGGTCGAGATTCAACAACAGGAAATACAATACAATCATGAATAAATGGCCGAAGTGTAGGAATATCAACAGCTTCTAGACGACGAAGATCACCTGAATAAAGACATGGATTCTTTGTCACTAAAACTTCATCTATACAAAAATAAAACAACTATTTTGAAATGAAAACATTCGGAACTGGTAAGCTCGAGTCATGCTCTCTGTCTCTTGCATATAATTGATACCAAACATATTAAAACTCAGCACGGATTATAAATGAAAGAAAGAATGCTCTGAAAGTCTTATCGTACAGCATACTCTAATAACATCTTGACAAAAGTATTGACTTTAACCATATTCACTTTCTAATCATTTTTACCTTTTCACAATTTTATAAGACTTTCTGTCTATTGTCTGATATTGAATAAAACATTAACTTTCTTTTAATGATTTTGTTTCATCCGCAATACCAAATAAACATCGAGCTTCATCAGCAGGCAACGGAATTTTGTTACGACATAAGAAATCTTTTCCGCATATATATATATATATAGAAAATAAAGTTATATCAATACTAAAATCTAATATTCTCACGCATTTAAATAACCACATTGTCTATTTTCATCTTTTATACGATCTACATCTTTTGAATCGAATATATTGAGATACGCTTGTTCAGGTGGATGCTATTCACTTTGTAAACAACATCGATTTTGTAATGATTCAATAACAGCTTTATTGTCTTGGTTAAGATCATATAATAGACGAATAATTTGATTATTTAGACTTAAACATACTATACGTAACTGTATATACGAATTAATGGAATATTTTTTTTTTTTTTTTATTATGCGAAATTAAACCCTCTGACCATGTCGGTCCTAAAGGGACAGTGTAGCTTACAATTAACAAGTTGCACAAAGAGAGAAAANTCGAAAAGAATCTCTTTTGATTTTCACAGAAAATAATAAGAATAAGAATGCAATTATATCATTATCAACATCAAAAAATACTAATCAAGAAAAACATTTGTCAAATAATTTTCGTTTAGTATTGGAAGATAATAAATGTGATTCAATAAAATCAGCTTCTTCTCGAGAACATTCTAATTCACATACGTCATTGATTGCTTCTTGTGTTTCTATGAAATCAAAAGTAGTTGTAGTGAATATTTTATTGAGATTTCGAGCAAGAATCTTTGGTCCATTTGGATGAACCTTTAAGTTTTTAAAGCGATATAGCACTTTTTCAGTTAACATTACTAATGATCTTACAGCAAGCTTTGATATATTTATTTTTTACTTTATTTCCCACTAAATTGAGAAAGAGCATAAAGAAGAGAGTGAAGTTCTTTTCTTTTTTTGCTTTTCTTTGTTCGTCATAAAAAGGTGAAATGAGGAAGAAAAAATAGATTTTAATAGACGTCGTAGATCCTAACAAACTTGCCATAAAAAGCCACGTCGACCAACCTTATCACCAATGAAATATTAACACATGTACTGATATCAAAAAAATATAGGATTTCTATTATTTATTTATTTTATTAATGTTTACAAAATACAAAAATGTTCATATAATGTCATAGAATTCAATAAATAAAGTTCAGACAGTGGTCTTATAATTAACATTTGAAACGCCATGATGATGATGATAAACTTACTGTCGATGGTTTATTATCAAAAGTTTGTATAAATTTCCTTAATAAAGAAAATAAAAAATCATATTCAATTAATCTTATGCATTGTTATACGTAATGAAACTATTTGTTTTATTATTATCAAGAATTAAAGTTATCTCTGATATTTAATCAAAAAAACAAAAACAATTTGAAAATTTTAGATCTTCTATTATCTATGCGTAACATATATATTCGATAAGTCTCTAGACTTTCGATATTTTTAATTTTTCTATATGCTGACAAACACATACTTGCAATCAAATTGAACTATTTCTTTTAAAATTCGATCAATATCGGCATCAGAAAATTGAGCATTCAGTTTCTATTATTAGAAAATAAATTAATATTATTCAATATAATAAATTATCAATAATTTACTTCTTGAATTGCTTGTTTCAATTGAACATGATCTGTTATTCGATTATTAGATGTTTTATCATCTGTAGTAGCAACAGAGTAAAAAAAATTTGCTAAATCAAGTTCAGGACGACGTTGAAAAAGTGTATGTAATCTTTCCATTGGTGATAGTGGAAAACGATGATTACTTTTTAGTAATGGTGGCGGTACTATCAGACCAATTAAAATACGAATTTCAGGACGTTGACCTTTTACTTGTAAGTAAATCTCTTGACAATCATGATTCAATCGAATTTCCTATGAATACAAATCATAATAGAAGTTCTATTGAAATATTCTATACTGTTAAATCAATAAGTTCAAGTTTATTTGGTGTTGCATCTTTTGCTATAAGTGGTTTAAGAATAGCATAACATCCAGCTGATTCAAGTGGATTTCCTGTTAACTAATTGATACATAAACAAATATTTATATTTATTTCAATGAATTAATAATATTAATTATTCTTACACGTATTATTTGTAAACTTTCACTTTTAGCAATACCACGACCAATGTATGTAGCTGGTTCAGTTGCTAAACGATTGTGACTAATCAATATATAAATAATTTTGAATATATTTCATAAAAATCAATAGTTATATTACCTTATATCAAGTTCAACAAGTGTAGTATTCTCTTTGAAAGCATTGAACCAGGCACGACCACATTCAGCTCCTGCTAAACCATTATGAGCCAAATTTAATATTTTAAGAAAAAGATTTTCCTATTGAATTAAATTATTATATTATTTGTTAATTAATTATATAAATAGAAAAATATTTATGAACAATAATGATTCAGAATCAGTCGAATTTCTTTATACTGCTGAAAATGATTTTATTATTCATATAATCGTTTTGTAAGTTTTCATAACGAAAAATTCTTACTTGAATGCCTTTAATTAATGCAACAGCACCTTTACCATTTATAGAATTCCAACTGAGATCAAGAGATTTCATTGTTGTATTTTCAGCAAGAGCTTGACCTACAATATAAGAAGATTTTATTTCAATATTTATAAATTAATCATATTTGTTTACCTAAGAAAATACCACTTGCTGATCCTAGTTTATTTTTTGCCAAATTTAATGTATATAATTGTCCAGTACTCTATATGAAATCAAATAGAATAATATTCATTGATTTTTGTTTTTCTTATATTCATATCTTACTGAAATAAGTTCAGCTAATAGACGAGCACATTCATCATTTAATAAATTTCCTATATAGATAAAGATATTTATTGAAAATAAATAATTTTTTAAAAGAGAGAAACAAAAAAAAAAAAAAATAATTTTTTATTGTAACCTTCAAGGTTTAAATGATTAATTGTTACATTATCTCTAAACATATCACATAATTGTCGAGTACCATCAATACCAATAAAATTTTGTGAAAGATTAATATCAGCTATTGCAACATTATCACGAAGAATTTGTGATAAATAAATAACACCTTTATCACCAAGACCATTACTTGTTAAATCAAGTTTAGTTATATATGTATTCATCTAAAGTAAAACAATAAAACATATATAGTACATATATGATTATTTTTTGATTAATTATAATTTTATATTTACGTACTGTTAAACTTGGTAGAAATGCTCGCATACCTTTTGAGCCTAAACCATAATAATGCATTAATAAATCTTTTTTATCATAATTTTTTAAATACTGTCCAACAGGTACTATTTGTTCATATTTACAAACATATTTATACATTCCAATACATGAATGATCACGATATTGATCAATATCATCATCTAAATCTGTATCATAATCTTCATCAGTTGCAAATGAAAAATTAGTTGTAGTTGAACTTTATTGAAAATGACTAGTATATGTATATGTTGTTTCTATTCCACCTGTTTTTGGACGACGTTCATTTGTTTTTACATCATTATTTTTACGTCGTTGTAATTGCTTTGAAAAAGATATAATATATATATAAATATTGAATAATTTTCAAATTTATTTATGAATATATATTTTTTAATAAATACATACTCGAGTTGGATCGACTGTAAGTGGTCGAATAAGATGAATTGGATTTTTGAATATTTCAGTATTACGTCTATGCATTGTATGTTTATGATGAAATGAAAGTAAAACAAAAAGAAAAAAGAAAAAAAGAATAATATATATATAACATGCACAATGTCATTTGTATGGATTGACAAATAATTTATATGTATATATGATTGTGTTTCGGACTTGGAAACCAAAGATGAAGAAACAAATTTTTATGTTTGATTAATTCAGCTTTTTTCTTTTCAAATAGATAGAATAATAATCATGCATTATTTTGTTTTCATATTTTTAAAAAAAATTTTTATCATCGTCAATTACACGCATTGCGATGAAATCTTCAATGACGTACGTCTCGTTGCAGAAAAATTCAAGTCATTTAAGAGAAAGCCTTTTTTATCAAATCTATTAGTATTGAATTTGAATTGTGAAAAAAAAGTGAAATGTTAGGGATATAACGAAGACGACAATGTGGAAGGAGATGGGGATGCAAGGAAATTTTTTGACAGCTGAAAAGGTGCATATAGAAGTTCTAAAAAAGTGCAAATTTTTTAAAACTGGGGGATACTCGCCCCATCGTCTGCTCTGTCATGAGCAGATCCCTATAAAACGTCCTCTTCGAACTTTGTTTTTATAGAGCCAAAAAATCCAAGATAGTCTAATGTTTTATTGCTGTAAAGTACGTTTCAACAGATTTTTTTTCAAAAAATTTTGCATGGTACGTTATTATATCATTTCCTTTCTAATTCATAAATAGCCATTTGTTGCATTGCATATACTACGTAGTAACATCCTATTCTCTTAAGATAAAAGTATTGCACTCCTTTCCTAGTATCCAATAAAGGCCACATTTGGCCGTTTTTTTTTTTATTATGTTAACTTTGTAAGAATCATACAATATGACCATGAATATATTGCTCGTATACAAAAAGCTCAACCAAAAGCAGCGTTAAATTTTTTCGTTCTGTAGATGTCGATTCTTTTTTCTATAGATCAGATATTTAAAATACTTGTAATGAATGAATAAAAGAGCCAAATAAGATATATCAAGGATAAACAGATAGTGACTTGTTTTATCAGCTGATATCTTAGTTTGATAGTTGCTAATAGAACAAAAAAGAAGCATTTTTCAAATATGTTTATAATAGTATTTCCTTTTAAAAAGTTTATCATATACGAAATAAAATTAACTTATTTTTTATTATTATGCTAGTTAAATTCTTTTTTTTTTGAATTTCTTTACAATAATATCAAATACAAGCAAACAACCGGCACAATGATAACGAACAGATATATCATCTGTTTTTTTTTTGATAGAAAGAAAGAGATATGACAAGTGTAATACAGATGTGTACTGTTACGGTTGAGAAAATTACCTTCCTTTATCATTGATTCTTCATACTTGATAGAGGAAGGTTATTCTAGGCCAAGGTGAAACAGTCATTTATTTGAATATTTGATACATCAAACAAAACACAGCTGTTACGATCATTTCGGCATTAAACAATAATTTAATGTATATTTGATTTTTTATTGTTTATATTATCCATACAAAAACTGATGGTAAAACAAGTAAACGATAATCGTGAGCCTGCTTCACAACCACCATCATTACTTATTGCTGCTCATTGTTCAACAATACGTCGTAAAGCAGCACGTATTGATGCAAAGGAATTATCAGCTATATTCAATGATTGTGTGCATGAAGCATATTCAAATAAGTTCCCATTACAAACATATTTGAATTCTTTAAATGAAATAGTTACAACATTAAATTCAAATTTTCCGCCAGTATTAATTGAAATAAGTTCACATTCTTTTTTTACTCTCGTTTGTAACACAATTCGACTTCTTTTACGTGAATTATATACAACGAATGAATTAAATAATCAAGAAATTTATATTTTACGTAATTGTACTGTATTAATTCATAACGTAGTTAAGCAAATAAATGATGTATCAAAAATTTTACAATGGATTACTGAAGAAACATTTCTTGGTGCTTTAGCAAATTGTTTAATTCATATAAATAAAATTTCAAAAGCAACTGAAAATCAACATATAATTAAACAAATAACACGTTTATTTAATGTATTGTGTAATATTCAACAACGTTTACCCATAAATTTACATCAGCATTTATTTGTACGATTACTTCAAGCAACTATTGCTTGTTTAACATCATCAAATTATGTTAAATTATTTAGCAATTTACAAGCAAATGCAATTTCATTTACAGAAATTCAAAAATTATTTCTTATTAAATGTCCATATTTTCTTACTGCTTATAATGGTAAGCTGTCTTTTTTTTTTCAACTGTTATATATATTTGAATATTTCTTTTTCTTTTTTTTTCGAGGACCTTCTATTGAGAAAGCAGTTGAAAATCTGTTAGAAATAATGTTACCACGTTATGTATCAATACTTGATAAACATATGAAAACGATTAAAGAATGGCAAAGTCCAATGATGCGTGCTATACATAATCTTATTATCACTCTTGTTTATGCTGAAGGATATTTATCATCGCATATTTATAATAAATCGTTTCAATTACTTATTAATCATCTTTTACATCTTCTTAATGAGTCTAGTTTAATTAATAAAATACATCCAAATGCAAACAATTTAGAAACATTATTAATTGATGCAACACTGGTTGTTTTTAGTGTACTAGTTTATGAACCTAATGGATTGAATTATATTAAACAACTTAAACCGATAGCAATTTTTCGACAATTAACAACAACATCTCATGAAACTATTGTTTTAAATGCTTATATGATGCTTGTATATGTAATGGATGAAAATGACATCGAAACAGCAGTGGATAATCTGTCTCATTTACTTTCTACAACTCTCTATTTGTTAGGAAAAGCAATTGAAACTCGTTATCATACGAATGTACATGAAAATTCTAAGCGGGAAACAACCGATCGAAATATAATGCATCTTCTTGAAACTTTGAAAGGTAAATGAATAAATTTCTCAAATAGATTTTGTTTTTCCTAAAATATTTTGATATCGATTTGTTCTTTTTTTAAAATTAATTTCAAGGTTTAGCACAATATGAACAAATTAAAAATGACGTAATAAAATACAGAATAGTATCACATTTAATGTATTATTACGAAAAAGTACATGGATTATCAAAACAATTATTACTTGAATGTTTTTGGACATTATCATTTAATGAACGAATAGCTCAACAATTGCGTGAATATTCGCTATTTATTCTTTCATTACATCATATATTACAAACTAGTGATGATAGTCAACAAAATACAATACGTCATTCAAATAGTTATTGTAGCCGTCAAAATGGTACCGTTATAGCATTAATTGAAGGAACAAATAATGGACTACGAAAAGTGGCTGATGGACTTCTTTGGAAGCTCATTAACGGTATACTTTAAAAATACAGAAGTTTTTATTTCTTTTATTTGTTCATTTTCATTGAATAGAACCTGAATTTCGAGAGAACATTATTGAAAAGATGAACATGCGAACAGAAAAAAAGATCGCTACTGATAATCAAAACTATAAATATGATATAATGATTTCATATTGTTATGCTGACAAAGATATTGTTCATAACATTCACAAATTTCTTACTAATCAAGGTTATAATGTTTGGTTTGATAGAACTTACGATCATAAATACGGTAAGGTGACTTTATATTATTTATTCTTTTCTTTGTATATAATAACTCAGAATTCAATTGATTATTCGATTGACTCGTACTATAGAAAAAGAAGACAAGTATGTTACTTGAAAAACGATCTGTGTATATTTTTTGACTTTTTATACAAGTCGTTTAACACTTCTAAAGTCTATAGTGAATATGAAAAAGTGTTTCCATTAAAGATATGTTTTCAGTATAATACTTTAACAGAACATATCTTGAACTATTATTGTAATCTAGGTATGGAAGTGGTCGCAGAAGCAATAGAAAATTCTCAATTTGTTATTATTTGTATGTCGGATTCGTATAAAAGCGATAATTATTGTCAAGCTGAAGCTGAATATGCATTTAATTCCAAACGATTTCTTCTTCCGTTGATTCTACGTACCGGCTACAGACCTGATGGATGGTTAGCTTCTATCACAAAAAAAGGCAGTACCTATATCGATTTTGCAGGATCTGATTTTAAAACAGCATCCACATGGCTCTTAGAAGAAATTAAACAACGACACTGTAAGAAAGAAATTCCAGTTTTTAGACTTACCCCATCAAAACAAATCAACATGGTGAATAATTCATTTGTTTCCTCCGCTATTTTTGATAAGCCTTATGCACATGCTGAATCTTTGACTGTAACTGGCCCTATTCCAACTATTGAATCTGCTGATGTTATTAAAACACAGCAAGCTCAGATCCACAGTGTTTCAAGGACACCACCATCTGACGCTACACCTTTCACAACGTCTACTATTGATATTCAACAACGACCAATACATGTGCATCCTATTTCAACATCAACAACATTTGCATCCATGGTTTCTACTACATGTGACGTTAACAGTCACCAACAACAACACACATCAACGCTTTCATATCCAAAGTCTCCGACACCTGTCGCTCACACTTTTGCTATGTCTTCAGTTGTCAATAAGCAATGCGAACAGCATCAAAGATCAGGGCATCCTGTTTCAAAACCATTAACGTCTCATTCTATTGTTTCTGCCACATCTGTTGTTGCCGATAAACAACAACAAAAACATCGACGAATGACAGAGAGCCCAGTTTCCCAATCAACAATAACTAAATCCTTTTCTTCTGACCTTCCTGTCACTGTTGAGAAACACCAACAACATGGATTCACATATCCTGTTTCAACACCGCTAACTACTACATCCGCCATCTCGATCGCCATCGACCGACAGCAAGAGCCAACACAAAAACCGTCTTTCTCACGATCATCAATACCGGGCTATAGATACTCTACTGCATCTGCTGTTGTTGATAAGCAACAACTACCTGAAGCATGGTATTCTGCCTCACCAACATCAATCCGCTCATCAAGCTCTTCCACCGTAATTACAAATCTTGATCACAAGCAGCAGCAAAAAACGACTAATCCTGTTTTAATACCATTAACACCTTCTACTGTCTCTTGTGACACATATCTTAATGTTGAAAAAAAACAACAAAAAACGCCACCACATCCTAAACCACGAACGTCAACGATTAATGCCGTATCCTCTGTCGCCTGTTCAAATGTTATTCAACAACAACAGCAAGCTATCGCAGAATCAAAAAATGACACTACTCTTCCTGTTAAGCCCATCACCATAAATATCCAGCAACATCAGCCAATAGAAACACCTTCTGTTTCACAATCTGCAACACCCTCTGTTTCACGATCTGCAACACCCTCTGTTTCACGATCTGCAACACCTGGTTTTAAAGCTTCGGACGAATGTATCAGTGCCATCAAACAGTCACAACAACAAACACTAGGGTGTTATATTTCATGTCCACCAGCACGCACCAACGCTGTACTTTCTACAACATACACAGGTGTCCCTCAACCGCAACCGCAACAGCTAACACCAACTCATTCTGTTCCACAGCCGCTAACAAATAATATTGTTTCTTCTGCGTCAACTACCAACATCGATAAACTACAAGAGAAAATCCAACTTCGTCCTATTTCACAATCACAAACATATAATTCTGTCTATTCTGGTACATCTGTTCTCGTTGATCAACAACCACAACTAACACCAATGCAGGTTCTTTCGCCACTGTTAACAAATAGCATTGTTTCTTCTCCCTCACACGTAGCTGTGAATAACGAGCAACAACTGCCACCACGAATACCGTATGTTGCACAATCTCGATTACCCACTTCTACCTCTTCTGGTGAACATATCACAGCCCACAAGAAGCCACGGAAAACAGTAACAGGGTATTTCGTTTCATCGTCACCAACGGTGACCCACACTACACTTCCTACCACATCTACTCTTGTCACTGAATCGCCAGAGCTAACGTCAATGCATCTTGTTTCACAACCGTTAACAAATAAAACGGTTTTCTCAGGTTCAACTACTAGTACCAATAATCTACAACAGAAAACACAAGGCCATCCTGTTTCACACTTACAAAAATCTGGCTCTATGTCTTTTGCTACATCTGCTCCCCTTGGTCAGCAACCACAACTAGTACAAATGCATCCAGATTCACAACAATTAAGAAATAACATTGTTTCTTCTGATTTACCTATTATCATCGATAAACTACAGCAAACAACACAAGTTCGTCCTGCTTCACAATCACAAACATCTGGCTCTGCGCCGTCTGCGGCATATCTTTATCTTGACCAACACTCACAGTTGACACCAATGCACTCTGTTCCACAATCGTTGAGAAACAGCACTGCTTCTTCAGCTTCAACAACAAACACCGATAAATTACAACAGAAAGCACCACCTCGTCCTGTTATACAATCACAAACAACTAGAGGTCTCCCTCCTGCTACATCTGTTCTCTTTGATCAACAACAACAGCTAACCCAAATGCATCTTGTTTCACACCAGTTAACAAATAACAGAGTTTCTCCGGCAGCACCTATTATCACCAATAAACAACAGCAGAAACCACAAGTTCCTACTGTTCCACAATTACAAACACCTGCCTCTGTCTCCTCTACTACATCTTTTCACCTTGGTCAGCAGCCAAAGCTAAAACCAATGCCTTTTGTGTCCCAACCGTTATCAAATAACACTGTTTCTTCTTCTTCGTCTTCTTCTTCTTCTTCTTCAGCAATTAACATCGATAAACAACAACAAAAAACACAGGTTTATCCAGTTTCACAATCGCAAGCATATGACTCTATGCATTCTGGTACATCTACTCTCCTTAATCCTCAATCACACCTAACATCAATGCATTTTGTTTCGCAACAGTTAAGAAATAACATTGTCTCTTCTGATTCACCTATTGTCATCGATCAAAAACAACAGGAAACACAAGTTGATCCTGTTTCACAATCACAGGCATATGGCTCTGTCTATTCTGATATATCTGGTGGCTTTGATCAAGAACCGCAGCTAACATCCATGTATCTTGTTTCACAACCGTTAACAAATGGTACTGTTTCTTCTACTTCAATCGGCACGATTGGAAAACAGCAACAGAAAACACCATGTCGTCCTGTTTCACAATTACAAACATCTGCCTCTCTCTCGTCTGTTCACCATGATCAACAACCACAGCTAACACCTATGCATGCAATTTCACAACCGTCAACAAATAACGCTGTTTCTTCTGCTCCAATGACTACGATCGGTAAACAACCACAGAAAACACAAGTTCGTCCTGTTTCCCAATTACAGACATCTGCCTCTGTGTCGTCTGCTACATATGTTCGCCTTAACCAACAACCGAAGCAAACACCAATGCATTTTGTTCCACAACAGTTAAGAAATAACACTGCTTCTTCTAATTCATCTATTACCATCGATGAACTACAACAGAAAACAAAAGTTTATCCTGTTTCACAATCACAAACACATGCATCTGTTTATTCTGGTACATCTGCTCTCCTTGATCAAGAACCTCAGCTAACACCTTTGTTTTTTGTTGCAGAGCCTTCAACAAATGGTAGTGTTTCTTGTGGTGTACCTGTCACCAACGATAAGCGGCAAAAGCGGCCAACACAAGTGCCTCTTGTGTCACAGTCTACTGTTGCTGACTCTACATCTTCTGACAAATTTATGAGTGCGAAGAAACAGCCGCGACGTGAAATATTAGTGTGTTCTATTTCACAACCACGAACAGCGACCGACGCTGTACCTCATACCACATCTACTGTTGACAATCAACCACAACAAAAAACATCAAAGCATGTTGTCGCACAGTCATCAGCAAATAACACGATTTCTTCTGCCTCAACTATGTCCACCAAGAAACAACAACAGGAAAGCTCAGTGCCTGGTACCTCACGCTCACAAGCACCCACATCTGGCGTCTCTGTTACACCTGTTAGCATGAAAAAGCAAGAAGGAATGCAACGACATTTAAACTCAAGGTCATACCCACACCCTTTTCATGAACTACCACGCTTACCCGAAGAATATACAAATCGCAAAACGAATAATTCGAGATACCGTACTGTACCGATTAATTTATGGGATGACACTGATGTGCTTGACTTTCTATTCGATTCTAGACTTCATGCCATGATGCCATTATGTGAATCGATATCAGGTAAAGCTTTGATTCGTCTTTTTCGAATGTGTCAAGAAAAGCCTAGACGCCTTTACAATCAATTAAATGACGAATTACGTGACCGCTTCAACGGCTTGAATTTACCGTTGGGCGTTTATGCAGAGTTTCTGATAGAAATGGATTATTTAGTTGGTCTTACACCTGCTACAATTCCTGAAATACCAATTTCAAGAGTAAAGGATGAGGAACGTGCCACATTCAGACCTCGTACTGTTCAAGAAGAACCAATATCGATGCAACGAAGTTTGAGACCCTTATTAGATATCACAGTCTCACGAAGCCTGTCACACTCTGGTCTGCCGGCTGAAACCTTACCAGGAACAACAGCTTCTAATAACAGAAGTTTCCTTGAACGATCATTTTTGCAATCACCATCAGCTCCTGGAAGACCATATATGTTAATTCTTGAATCAATTGAAGAATCAACTTTAGTTCTTCAATAAGTACAACTTTATAAACTTCAACTGATTTAACTTGATGATTCACATCGTCAGTGTTATGAAAACAACAGTTTTCATCAAAAACAAATATTTAACTGTCTTTTTCTCTCTATATTCGAGTTATTGACAAGTTTTTTTTAGTTATTTAGAAAAATAAACTAATTAAGTACAACAAAGGGCTTGCTTCTTTCATGGCTATTTTTTCTTTATGCTGCAACAAATGATCTTAAGAATTCCCTTGTGTATGAAGCTTTAGATAACTTTTTAGAATACGTAAAAAACTATAACCAGCAATTTTTAATTTATTAATAACAACAAGCGATTTTTACAAAAAATGAATAGTATAAATCGATTAAGAATCGAAACAAGTTCATCAAGTTTACTTTGACTTAAACAATGCTCAAGTCAATTTTTTGTAGCTAATGAACCTTCTTGTTGGCGTCAACTTTAAAATAATTCATATATCTACAGATTTTTCCCGATTATTAATTTTAAGCAACGCAAAAAGTAAATATCTACTGTTGCTATTGTATTAGATTAATTTTTTACTTAATATGCTTGAATATTATATTCAAGAAAACTCCATGCAAATGCTAATTTTGACCAATTATATGTTTTTCGTGAAGCTTAACTCGACATTTGCCTCAATTCATCTATACTAATTAGATCATATGTAGCAAACTCATTTTTGAAACAAATATTTGTTGTTGATGATTGAAGTGATGGTAATCTCTTAGCTTCATAAAGTAAATGTGACAGAATTCTATTAAAATAAAGAACTTCTTCAAGTTCACCGGATGATATAAATCTTTTAACATATGTTACACAATGTTGTTGATTTAATTGACGTTTTTAAATATTATTTATGCTATTTTTTTATTAGAAAAATTGTACCTTGTTCAGTTGATTCTAATTGTTGCATAAATATTATGGATAATGCTTGAATTTCTTCCTATATTTATTCAAGTTAAAAAACATCATGAATTTTGTGTTTTTGTTTATTGAGTCAATAACATACATATCTAGTCTTGGGGTAAATATATTTTAATAGCGTACTTATCATTGGAGCAGTAATAAGTTCACCGTTATTGAGATATCAAAATATAGCTGTAAATTTATTTTGGTTATCAGCTTCATCAAAATCAAAGCATCATAGTTATGAAATAACCAAATCGAATAGCATAGCGATCTGTGGTAGAGTGAGAAAATTGTTGTAGAAACTAAATATAACAAAAAGATTTTTCTTGAATACTTGTATTCTCATAGCGATGCAATCAAGAGATCACATGAAAATAACTGAAAAAATAAAAAAACAATGTCAGCGTAATACATGAAATATCTAACATTATATACCATGATGTTTACTACTTAAACGTGTATCAATCGTCCAAGATGTATTTCATCACTTTTGAGCTCATATTGTGGATGTATCAAGAAGATCTCTACAACAAAATAAGCACGAAAGGATTCGAGTTCATAGCTGTTCTGTACAGACGTACAGCTATTTTGCTACATTTTAATCGTAAAATGGTGTATTAGCAGAAAGATTGCAGCAAGCCGTTTTTACTGAAACATCATCTATAAAGAGAGGCCTCGCGATATTAAGTCTATCCTAAATGTTTCAGTCAAAACAGCTACTTCTTTTCTCAGATATTTCAACGTTCAAAAGCCGGTTAGATTTCCGAAACAGCAAGAAAAATCAGCTGTTTTTGAATGTTGAATATTTTCAAAAGGAAGGAGTAGTTTCCACTGTCAGTTTTACAATGTGTTTAACATCAAGGATTTAGTGATAAACAAACTTTCAGGTAAAAAAGCCTTTTTTTTTTAAATTTCTTGTCAACACTCTCATCATACAGTAAAAATCTAGTAAAACTGCGCGTAACTCAATATAGAAGGCTTGTGAACAGAAATTCTTTTTTAAAATTATTCTAATCTGAAGATCTTTTCTACATCGACAAAAATATGAGCTTAAAAGTTACGAACTAGTTCGAAAGATTCTTTTGTAAAATAATAAATATATTATCTTGATAATTTCAATTAAAAAGTCAATGAATATACAGAGAACTTGAATGCAAGAATTTAAACTAATTTCCTTGGTCTTATCGACTGTGATAGATGATAACAAAAAGAAGTTCTCAGCATTTTTTTTTTAATTCGAATTTCTAATGAAAATATCATTTGACAATTGATTCAGTACTGCGTATTGTTATCTAACTATAATTTTGAGTTATATAATTAGAAGGATTTATTTGTCGAAATCGATTCCATAAATGTTCTACTTCAACTATTACTAAACCGGTTGCATCTACATGATTGATCAATTAACTAACATGATCTGATGATATTTTTCTTAATTTATTTTTTTTTCATTGAACAATAAAGTATTTCGAATAGCTAGCTCTCATTGATTTTAATTATTAATTTAATGCAATTTCTTCAGCCATTATCATTGCTGTAATATAATCAATGTACAGAATGAGACTCTATTCAAATTTAGTTTTATGAAAACCAATTTAAAAAATAAGATTTCTCTTAGAAATAATTTAAAATAAAATATGATTTTGGTTAAATTACTTAAATAGATGGAGACACAGTCTGTATAATGAACACGTCACTACATTTAATCTCCATCTGATGCCTTTCTGCTGATGTCCACGTTTTCAACCGAACGAACGAATGAAAATATAGAGAAAGCAAAGCAAAACCTGTAGCCACTTGTTTTTTTTACTTTGTATTAAACGCTTATAATAAAGACGTATGGGACATTTATTTATACAAAAATGACGAAGAGCATTTTTGTTATTTTGTATTCGTTATTGTTTTCTTTTTGTTTTTTAGAAATGGATGCATTAACATCGTTTCTCCCATTCAAACAATTGTTACCGCATAAATTATCTTATGATAAACAGGAAACATTTTTAAAGTTATTTATCTTAACTTTTGCTGGTATATTAGCATTTGCTACTCGTTTATTTTCTGTTTTACGTTATGAATCAGTTATTCACGAATTTGATCCATATTTTAATTATCGTACAACAAAATTCTTAACTGATGAAGGCTTTTATTCATTTCATAATTGGTTTGATGATCGAGCATGGTATCCATTAGGACGTATTATTGGTGGTACAATTTATCCTGGTTTAATGGTTACATCAGCTGCTCTTTATCATACATTACGTTGGTTTCATATTACGATTGATATTCGTAATGTGTGTGTTTTTCTAGCACCATTATTTTCAAGTTTTACTGTTATTGTAACGTATTTATTGACAAAAGAACTTAAGGTAAAAAAAAACAAATAAAAAATTGATTTAATTCAACTCGTTGAAAATTTATTTTTATTTTTATTATTAAGAATGCAAGTGCTGGTCTTGTTGCTGCATGTCTTATAGCTATTGTACCCGGTTATATATCACGTTCAGTTGCTGGTTCCTATGATAATGAAGGCATTGCAATATTTTGTATGTTATTAACATATTATTTATGGATTAAAGCAATTAAAACTGGTTCAATTATGTGGTCAGCATCATGTGCATTAGCCTATTTTTATATGGTTTCATCATGGGGTGGTTATGTCTTTTTAATTAATTTAATACCATTACATGTTCTAGGATTGATGGGTACGGGACGTTTTTCGCATAGAGTTTATGTGGCATATTCAACTGTAAGTTATTTCTTTTCAATGAATTTTTTCGATTGATATTGCCTATTTTGTTTTAAGGTTTATATTTTGGGAACAATTTTATCAATGCAAATACCATTTGTTGGTTTTCAACCAGTACAATCAAGTGAACATATGCTTGTAAGATTTCAACAAAAATGATGATTTTGTTTTTTAATAGATATCTTTGTTTAAGGCATTTGGTACCTTTGGTTTATGTCAAATATTTTCATTTGTTGAATATGTTAAATCAAAATTGACACAAGCACAATTCGATGCATTATTTTCATTTGCACTTGTTACAGTTGGTTTTGGTCTTGGTGTTGCTTCATTAGTTTTGTGGGCTAGTGGAAGTAAGAAATAATTAATATTGTTTTATAGATAGATGTTGAGAAATAGAAAAGACATTTTAGATTGATTATTTTACATTTGAAATTTTGAAATATATTATAGTTTTTAATACGAAATAATTCTATATTATAATTGGATATTTATGTTTTTTTTTGTTTAGAAATTGCACCATGGACTGGTCGATTTTATGCTTTATTAGATCCATCATATGCAAAAAATCATATTCCAATTATAGCTAGTGTTAGTGAACATCAACCGACAGCTTGGTCAAGTTTCTTTTTTGATTTTGAATTACTAGTCTTCATGTTTCCAGGTATAAATAAAATAAATTATTCTTACTTTTTTTTTTGTTTCTCTAAATTTAAAATTTTTCTTTCTTTTTTTTTTTTTTTTTATTAATTTTTAGTTGGTATTTATTATTGTTTTAAAGAATTAACTGATGCAAATATTTTTATTATTATGTATGGAATGACAGCAATCTATTTTGCCGTAAAATATTTTCAAAAGACATTTTTGTTTTTTCTAAATAATATATTTTTTTTTTTCATCTAGGGTGTTATGGTTCGTTTAATGTTAGTTCTTGCACCAGTTATGTGTGTTCTATCTGGTATTGGTATATCAAGTATTTTAACAACTTATATGCGTAATTTGGATTTAAATCAATTAAAAAAATCGACCAGTACTACGAGTTCAAGTCAAAGTTCATCACGATCACGTCGTGGTGATGATTCGTCAACATATCCACGAAAAAGTGAAATTGCATTTGGTGTTGTTTGTATGATGTCATTTTTCTTAATAACATATGTTTTTCATTGTACATGGGTTACAAGTGAAGCTTATTCATCACCATCAATTGTTTTATCAGCTCGTGGTGGTGATGGATCAAAATATATATTTGATGATTTTCGTGAAGCATATTGGTGGTTAAGATATAATACAGATGAAGTTAGTTATCATAAATTTTTCTTTATAATTAATAATAAAATTTTGAATTTTCTAGGATGCTAAAGTTATGTCATGGTGGGATTATGGATATCAAATAACAGCTATGGCTAATAGAACAATTTTAGTAGATAATAATACATGGAATAATACACATATTAGTCGAGTTGGACAGGTAAAATTTAATTAGAAATTGATATTAATGTGATTTAAAATCGATGAATTAGTTAATTTTAAATGGACTACTTTTGTTTTCTTTTTTCTAGGCTATGTCATCAACAGAAGATAAAGCTTATGAAATAATGCGTGAACTTGATGTTGATTATGTATTAGTTATTTTTGGTGGTTTAATTGGTTATTCATCAGATGATATAAATAAATTTTTATGGATGGTTCGTATTGGTGGTTCAACAGAAAAAGGTGCTCATATTAAAGAAAAGGATTATTTTACACCACAAGGAGAATTTCGTGTTGATAAAGATGGTTCACCAACATTACTTAATTGTTTAATGTATAAATTATCTTATTATCGATTTGGTGAAACATATACTGAACACGGTATTTAGCTTGATTTTTTTTTAAAGCTTTCTTTTTCTTTTAATTTAATTGACTATGAAAATTTAGATAAACCACCTGGTTATGATCGTACACGATCAGTTGAAATTGGTAATAAAAATTTTGAATTAGAAAAATTAGAAGAAGCTTATACAACTGAACATTGGCTTGTTCGTATTTATAAAGTGAAAAAAGAAGAAAATCGTGGTCAATCATAAATATTTATCGGTTACAAAAATCTATTTGATTGATACAACTTATTTATACACTTTTCATTGTTTTGCTTTGACTCTTTTATTATTGTTGTGGTTTTTTTTTTTTTTTTTGTTTTCTTCTTCAATAAAAACCATTCGTAGTTTATTCTGTTGATTCAGATACTCTTTTCGTTCTTTGTGGCATTATTATTAATCAAAAAACAAACAAAGATATCAGATTTAGTAACTAAATTAAAATATGAAAATTGCACATTGTCTGACTTGAAATTATTCAAAAGTAAGATGAATTTTAAATAAAAAATTTCATCGATAAACTAATCAAGTTTTTGCTTTTTTATGCGAAAACAAAAAATCGTTACAATAAATAGTTCAACAAAGATAAAGAAAAACATGGGGTTTATTATTTCTATAGAGAAAATTGGCACATTATGTCGTTGAAACAATTCACGCACGAGTTCAATTATTTTTGATCATAATCATAAATATTTTACTTTTTTTCTAATCAGAAATCATTAGTGAATAATGATATTTGTAAATTTTCTCTTATAGTAATTATCGATATAAACAGATGTTTCATTCCTTTGTATATTTACTAATCGCAAATGAAACATAATAATTCATATTTTCTCTTACAAATGGCAAAGATAATATAGTATGATTAAATATTGTCAGTTTAAGATATAAAATAATCGTTTGATATAATTCAAAAACAAAACCAAAGCCAATAGAAGAATTGACAATGAATCCGATTTTTTAATAAAATGTTATAATTCGACGTCGAAATTTTTAATTCATTGAATATTTATTGTAGGGCGAATAGCAAAGTAACAAACTCGCTGCCTTGAGATTTGATATTTTTTTTTTTATTTGTATTTGAGATAAATTTGCTTCCGATTGGGATTTGGTAAGATAAGATGTCATCAACAATGTTCTACTTTATAATGGATGTGGCGCATCCAGAAAAAGATTTTGATATTTAGGACCAAAGCCTTGTTAGTTGGATTTAAATTTGTTCCTGGGCAAATATAAAATGAATAGTTTTAAGTTCGATAACGTTTCTTAAATTGCAAACTATTTATGTGAATTTGATCTACGAGTGAATCCATGCTTCAAACTCAAATACCAAGGTCTTTGTTCCAAACTCCGAATGTATTCTAGATTAATTGTACTCCAACTTTTACGTACATAGTTCTACAACATTTTTTCTTTTTTTCTCGATGTACGCATCAAAAAGTACCTTATAGTGCCACGACTGCCTTATGAACAAAAAGTAAGATAATACTCTGGAATCCTGAGAAACAGTCTCGAGCCCCAAAAACTGCCGTTTATCTCGTTGTCCCGTGAGATAATTGTGATCGGGAGGATTCGAAAAAAAATTCAGTACTGTACAGATTAATTTTGATACGTATTTCTAACAAATATCTTAATATTAAAGTACAAAACAGAAACAAGAAAAGGCAAAGAACTAGGCTGCCACTTAAACAAAGCCTGAGTAGAAAAGGCGGCTCACTTCACGAGCTCGAGGAATATCAGAATGCGATTCTATACGGCATCTTCTATTTCTAATAGGAAATCAAAACGAATTTCAGTCCCGTTTAGCTATCTTGGCTAAGCTAACAAGTTGAGAGATAATGAATCTATACCAATTATTTCAATATAAGGAAACCCTCACTGTTAATCATCGTTTTTCTCAATTTTTAAAGCTCGCGAGCGGAATCGACTTTTTGAAAAACGAATTTTTGATGTGCACTCGTCATATTCTCACGATTTCGAAAACGTTTTTCTCATTTTGAAATGATAGCTATGTGTGAAAAATGATTGAGCGAATGAAAAGCAATAAATCGGCTACTGCACTCTGTGCAGCCAGCCCCCTTTTATTCAACAGGACAAACGGGTTTCAGGACACGAAAAAGTTTGCCCCGCAGGACGCTAAAATGCTCGTTCAAAGGCATGAATAAAATTTCATGAATGAATCAATAACATTCGCTTTCTGATCTTCAATAGAAAACACCTATTTTCTTACAGGAAGTTATCGAGAAAAGGAAGTTTTTCGCATTTAGTTTTCTCTGATATTTCGAGAATATTAAGACAAAAACAGCAGCATAAGTTAGCCCCTACTTTCTTTGTTTATATTAAAAACAGCTACGAAAACAGCTATTGATACATAATTAATTAAAGAAAGAATCAATGAATAAATCAATAGTATTCATTCGAAATATGTTAATACTTGTTGATATAGTTTTCTTAATAATGCATTTCACAATGAATACTTTTCACTTTCATATCGCTCTCGATGGTCTAATTGCTCGGAATATACATTTTTCGATTTACATTGACGAAATAAAAGTCTGATTACAGTAAAACAAAACTATCTTTCGATGACTTGTGTTTCGTAACTCATCGTAGGAAAGGTTCTTTGTTTTTTATCAGAAATCAATTTCATCAAAAATTGATCTTGAAAGCTTCACATGACATTTAGCAGTCGAGTGAAACTTAACTGTCATGCAGTTTTATTTTCAAGTCGTTTCTTCTGAAAACTCTAATCGAAAACAAAAATAACTTTAATTTACCTCTTTTCTGAAATTGAAATCAACTATATATATACAATTATACACTCATAGACTCATATTTTTTTCATTTTATATAAGAAAGAAAATAGTAGACATCTTATTTTTTCTTCTAAAAACCTTGAACAATTATTTTGTTTTGCTTCCTTAAAAAATGTACCCAATAGGTTTTTTTTATCTATTAAAAACTGTCCAGACTACTACTTCATGCAAATATCATCTCGTGCATCATTCTCCACGTTTTTTTCTTCTTGTGATATTATCTATTGTAAAATGTATATACCTACTTGGATATGGTTGATTGGCACATAATATTAAATATGGTCCTTGTAAAATGTTTTGCCTTGTCAAAAATTGATTTTATAAGCAACAAAACACTATAAGAGTTCGAAACAGAGAGCAACTTCTAACGATTGATATGAAATTATATATCTTTTTTCTATTTCAACAAAAATGATATATTTATATATGAGATAAGCTCATCAAGAAAAAAATCATGAACATTTCGTTCAACCAATTAGTCAAAAGAAAAATCGACCAGCTTATGAAATATAAAAAATAGTTTAAAAGTTTTATTTTTGAGCAAAACGATATGTATGTCTTCTATGTGTTTTAATCATTAATCCAGATTTATAATAATATCGAATACCACGTGAAAAAGTCTCATAATCCATTGGTCCATGAGTTCGTCGTAATTTTACTTTTCTCCAAAGACTAGTAACTTTTGCTGGTTTATTAATCTTAAATAAACCTTCATCTTTATTTATCCAAGATGCATATGAAGCATAACGTAGATCATTAAGAAGTAAATGAAGAAATTCACATCATTTTGGAGATCGAATTTTCCAAGATGAAGAATCCTCAATCATCCAGTCGGCAGCATTAAAAACTTCTGTATCTTCATTATTTTTATCCAAATGTGATGGAGTTTTACCTATTGAAAGTAATTCAGGATCATCAGATATCTTGAAATCGAATGTATGTCCAGGAAAATTCCTTTGAGAATGCATTACTCCACCACTATTCGACTTATTCAATGGTTTGCAAGGATCATTAATAGTAAGGTTTAGAACTGTTATTAAATCTTCATAAATTTTTTGAATTTCCCATTCTTCTAATTCATCGAAAGATTTCTTTGTGGAATTGGAATTCAATGTATCAAAAGAATTTACATCGCTATATTCAAATAATTCATTCATAGAGCCAACTATTAAAGGTGAAGCTGCCGATGGTGATTGATTCTCACACTTCTTACTATTGATAAAGAAATATATAAAAAAATAAATATCAATATAATGCTTTACACCAATAGTGAAGACCCACGTTTCGTTGAGTTTATACACAGACGACGACAATTTTGTTTTTAGCTAATAGCCATGTCGTAATTATAAACAGTGATGACTTGAAAAAAATGAATAAAAAAGAAATTAATGTGCATAATAGATAAGATTTAGAGAGGCAAAAAAAGAAAATGATATTAGCAAGAGAAAACTGTAAATTTGTTTTTAATTATGTGAGTCGAAATCATGATCGGGGAAGGACCACAAAAATGACATCAATTTCTTGAATCATTAAAAAAACAAAGATTTTGATATAAAAATCTTTGTCTATATTTGACAAGTCAACATGTGTAATTCATAATTTTAGAATAGCTATTTGAGTTTTTGAATTTTTGTTATAGCTATAATGTGGATGAGATGAGTATGATAAATAATTGAATATTATTTTCTTTACATATTTTGTAAGGATAAGAACAAGAAGAACGAAGACAAACAACAAAAAAAACGAAATAAATTATATGAAGACAAAAAAATAATTTATTTATTACGCAAAGGCTTTCGAGTTATCCTTTTTAAAGTCGTCTTAAGTTAAAAAGAACTAGTTCGTGTTTTTGAAGCGTAGCTAAGGATCCATGTAAAACGAGAAGAACAAAAGACAAAAATCCTTATCTCAGTCTCATATACTCTTGTTCATGGAAAGCGCAGCTCTCTTTAAGATGAACTTATGTTCTTTTCGTAAAAATTAGTATTTTCTTAACTGGATTCTTATCTAACGAGCGAAGGTCACCAGGCGTGTCCCTGGGATTTCAACAAAAACTATATGGGTTTCTCCAGTCAAGTGTTGTGATTTCAAATATAGAAAAAGTAGCAGCTGAGACTAATCGGATTAAAAAAGTTGCAGTCAAAATAATTTCTGACGGCTATCCTGAGGATGACCACAGGTGAAAGTTTTCGACGAAAAACAATTTCATAAAAAATATCTTAAACATTCATAGATCGACTTAATTTTTAGTACTAATTCCAAATATGTACTTAATTTTAACTAATATTGTATTTTTCTGATCTAAATCTCTTGAACAACAATAAAAAACAAAAAGTACAAAATCATGCTTTGAGAATAGTTTGCTTGAAAGTTTTTAAGTGACCAGTATTTTGAAGTGTACAATAGATATGATTATTAAATAGCATTTTAAAATCACTCTCTATTGGTACACAAAGATTCATGTGAACTAAAAAATATGATTTTTTATCGGTAGATAAGATAATTATCCGAACAGAATTTTCAGCTACCATACTACTGCCCGCCCATAAGATGACAAATAAAAGACTCTAAGAATTTTTTCTATAAACTTGTTCTTAAGTGAATCAATGTAGCATCTAATGCTCTATCTGATGAGACTATCTTGAAATAACAGTGATATCATTGCGAAAAAACTCAACAAAATGTATCATGATTTTGACGATTGTAAACTAATGACGCTATGTCTAGTTATTATTGCTCTGCATATTATCGAATCAATTTGAAACTACTGCCAGGTGGAACATCAAAACTTTCTGCATCAAAATAGGCATGAATTTTAAAAATTCGAGAACGGTTCATTTTAACTCTTTATGCAATCCCGTTCTTCGTTGGTTTGGTAATGAGTATTAATTTGATATGAATATGATCAATCTTATCAACTTGTAATACAAATCGTTCTGATGTAAGTTACATACCGTTTTATAGAGAATGATAAGTCATAAAAAACTACTTGATCCTTTTGTTTCTGTTTCTATCATAAATAATTGAAGAGTAAGAAATTATCACATGATTACTTGATGCCTAAAAATCGGTACACAGGTTTAACGAAAGTACTCTCTTACACTCTAGATATACTGGTTGATGAGAGATAGAAAGTTGATGTACGCAGTGAAAGAGTTGCTTCAAAAAAAAATACATGATTTTTCATTTAAATCGGTAACAAAAAGTGATTTCTACTCCGGCGATGATCAAAAGGATAGTTTACTTAAGTTTATGACAGATGACAAAAAAATTAATTAAAACGAAGTACACTATCGCAAGAACTGCAGAAAATAAAATACAAGCCATGGTACGTTCATGCAGAACAAAAATCCTCATCAAAAGAAAAACACACATCCTCGGCATTCTCACAATTGCCAGGATCCATTAAGTTAATAGGTACTTGAATATTATTTATATTTGATTATAACTGAAAATTCTGTTCTCGTAGTTGTCTTATCGACCGATAGAAAATCATATCGTTCAGTTCATATGAATTTTTGTATACCAACAGAGAGTGATTTTAAAATACTATTTAATTATGTATTTTTTAAACTCCAAAAATACTGGTCACGTAAGAACTTTCTAGCAGACTTTTCTCAAAGCATGATTTTGTACTTTTTTTCTTTATTGTTATTCAGGAGATTTAGATCAGAAAAATACAATATTTTTTAAAATTAATTACACATTTGGAATCAGCACTAAAAGCTAGGTCGACCTATGAATGTTTGAGATATTTTCTACGAAATTGTTTTTCGTCGAAAAAATTCATCTGTGATCTCCCTTAGATTCGTAGTCATAAATTATTTTGACTGCAATGTTTTTTGTTAAGTGTCGGAAAGAAGTATCTTACGTACCTATCTATCAAACTTGTAGGATACTTATTCAAAAAGAGCACGACCCTAATTTTGTCGCGTTCATGTTGGAGATCCTTGGGATAGAAGCATATAGGAATTACTTATAGAACAGCTGCGTACAGTATATTTCTTTGTACGTATGGCGAGTGTGACGAATGGAAGAGAACTACATATGGTTCAGGTGCTGATTTACAAAAAACTGTCGTTCTAAGAGTGATAACTTCTACAGTTGCCTTTATATGCAGTTGTGTAAAAATCGTTAATTTGTTATAAGTTTTAAACTAAAATTTGCCTTCTAAGAATCTTCGACTATTCAAGCTTTAAACTATATCTATAGCTTGAAGACTTTCAGTCTCGTGTTGTCTTATGCGGTAATGAGACTCCACCCTCATTCATGATTATGCATTAAATTGTTGGCTCTGTTACTGTAAATAACAGATTTTACAGATGTAAAATGCAATCCAGCAACGTAGAGGCGTAATGTTCAATTGAAGCGATGCATGAGTTGATCATATTTTTGATGCAACACAGTGTTTTACGTACCCAAGTTGAACACGCACACTTGTAAACGATCGTATATCGTCATAACTCTACATCTCCCATTTATCTGTATCTACTATGTGTCTAGTATATCCTAGGAATGAGATATTGGTATGTGGATAATCGATGTTATGCGAAGAGACATACAAATAGCATCAGAAACATCATCGATATACCAGGTAGGCTGATGCCTTTTTTCTCTGTTTCTAAGGCACCTATATCTAGTGCGATGTTCTATATGTATGCTTCGTCGTATGTTCATGCATCGTGACATCCACATCGGGTCTTGCATATAAAGCATGAAGAGCTGTTACGAGTTTTAAACTTTTAAAAGTTGAATAGTTGAAAACCTAGGTAGGATCTCTATGAGCTTCTGTGACTACTACCTTTTTGATTTCTTCTGTTTTCTTACAAAATTCTTTTATTATTGGTAATTCTCATCTTACGATCTTAGTCATCCTTGTCCATGCTGCTGAAACTTTACCTTTCATTTATCCCATCTGTTTTATGAGGCGTTCTAAAAATTCCTGTAGTATTCGTGATACGAACTTGCACCCTAAAATTAAAGTTGTATTGTTTGCCTGATGGAAGAAACTTATTCGATTGAGATATGAATGTAGTTTTGCTTTAGGAAATCCTGAATGATGACGCTATAGGGTATGTATGCACTAGTAGACGTTCATTGTACACGCCCTTTTCTTCTAAAAAATTCAGTTTTGTTTTTTGCAAATTGATGACGTTTTGTTCGTGACACATGACTTAAAGTGTCATATGATTCGCTTAGATGAACTGAAAATTTTCTCATCATCTCTTCATATTCTTCGTTTGCTTTTTCTAGTTTAACTATCTTCGCTTGTCTCATTAATATAGTTTAATATAATTTTGCTTTTCAAAGTATGTGTTCTCACTATTCTCGAAGTGAACTCAAATAACTATTGTTTGGTTTCAATGTGTTTGCGTGTAGCTCTAATTTATCAAAAATATTGAGAGATTGTGTTGGTATATTTTTCACAAATCTCTTCTCTATTTTATCTAATTGTACTTTAACATTTAATCATCTGATGAGTTTTTCAATTAAAATCTGTATATATTGTTGTTCTAGTTGCATTCCTAAATTTTGGATTTCATATGCAGATTTTTCTTTCATTTGATATAATAAAAGATTGTCGAATCTGCTGTAATTACTGATGTTTTATTTCCAAGTGATTGCTTAATAATAATTTTTTACAAAAGAAATGACTTATTCTCATATCTGTTCGGAGAACTATGAATGTAATTATTTTTCTCTCTCATTTTTTGTTGTTGTATATTTGCTTTTAAGAAACTCTTCAGAAGCTTGTAATATTTCAAATGTGCAATGTTTATCTCATATATTTACAACGATATTTACATTCGATAAAAAAATAATCAAGAAATCAAAAGAATGATAAAAGTGTAAATGGGTTAATCATAGAAACGATTATTCTTGTTTTTTTTTTTATCACAAATCGATTTTAGCAAAAATTGACATTCGAAGCTTCGCGCCGTATTTAGCAGTTGAGTGAAACTTGAATGCCATGTAGTTTTATTTCTGAATCATTTCGTCGAAAAATCTTTATTCAAAATAAAAACAATACTAAAATTATTTCTTCCTTAAACTGAAACCAACTAATATAAATGCATTCGTACACTCGTATTCAGCTTTTTTGTCATTTAAAATATTGAAAAAAAGTATAAAAAACCTTGTTTTTTTTACCGAAAAACCATGATTATTGATTTTGATAACTTCATTGATTCAGGTATTCAGTCGATGATTTGTATTAATTAAAACAAATCAAGCCTGTGCGATACACGATAGTCATCTAGTACATGATTTGTGGGCCTTTTTATTTATGATATTTTTATCATAAAATATATATGCTTTTCGACATGGTTGATTGATCCAGACAATATTAAATATTGCTCGGGCACACTATTTTACCCTGTCAAATATTAATTTTATAAATAATGAAGTATTATACAGTTTAAAACAGAAAGAAATAGCTGATAGTTTGCATAAAATAAAATATTGTTTATTTTTTTTTAGAAAAAAGCATGTTGCCTGATACAGGTAGTTTCAAAAGTCCGTGAGAAAAGAAAATATGAATAACTCTACTATTTATCAAACTTAATCAACTAGTTGTTTTCAAAAGATAGATACGACTGTGAGCTTTTTTTTATACGAACAAACTTCATAAATACTGTTCAAAGTTATTACTTTTGACTGAAATAGAAAAATCAGTCGTTTTTTGACTTTCAAAAAATCACTACACAGTGCTTGTCTTATAATGAGCCAGTTTCTTACATTTTTGTGGTATTTAGATTGACAAGACCTTGTGCTATCGTTTCCATGCATTTGTTTTAGAATATAACTACTAACAGAAACCACCTAATGGTGTCAAATCTAGTGATTGAGAAGCTCATAAGATCGGTTCACTTGCTCTAATTCACTAGTCATCGTTCGGAAATATGAAGCAATTTCATGAGTTTCACAATCACCGGACTTTACACCATTAAGCTTCTTTTTATAGTGAAATATTGAAACAAAGGCATATAAATCACAGCGCAAAGTTTAGCCAATCTAACAGTTGCAAATAATTCAAGAAACTAAAGCATTAAAAGAGAAACATTACGTAGTGATTCTTTTGGAAAGCGAAAAACGACTGCATTTTGTATTTCAATCGAAAAAATAACTTTGAACAGTATTTAAGAAGTTTGTTTGCATAAAAAAAAATCATAGTAGTACCTATCATTTAAAAAAGAAATAGTTGATTGAGTCTGATAAATAGTGAAATTATTCAAATTTACTTTTCTCAAGGACTTTTAGAGCATCCTGTACAATAAATTAATCAACAAAAAGCTATAAACTCTTCGTTCCAGCGATTAGTCAATAGGAAAATCGAATAGCTTAAGAAATATTAAAAAAATTTGTTCAAAAGGTTTTTTTTTTAGCAAAACGATAAGTATGTTTTCTATGTGTTTGCACCATCGATCCGGACTTATAATAATACCGAATACTCCGTGAAAACGTATGATAATTCATTAGTCGCTGGGTTTGTCGTAATTTAACTTTTTTCCAAAGGCTAGCAACTTCTGCTGGTTCATGAATTTTAAATAGACCTTCATATTGATTTATCCAAGATGCATATGAAGTATAACGTGAATTATTAAGAAGCAAATGAAGAAATTCACATAATTTCGGAGGTCTCCTTTTTGATAATGAAGGATCTTGAATAGTCCATTCATTAGGATTAAAACAAATTGTATCATTATTATTTTCATCGAAAACTAGTCCAGGATCATCAGATTTATCGGAATCAGATGTTTGTTCGGAAGACATCCTTTTATCATGCATTACTTCACCCCTATTTAAAAGGTCATGTGGTTTGCAAGGATCATTACGATTAAGGTATAGAGCTGTTACTAAATCTTCATAAATTTTTTGAATTTCCCGTTCTTCTAATTCATCGAAAGATTTCTTTGTGGAATTAGAATTCAATGTATCAAAAGAATTTACATCGCTATATTCAAATAATTCATCCATTGCATGAACTGTGAAAGGCGAAGTTGTCGATGGTGCTTGGTTTTCACACACTCTTCTGTCGATAAACAAATCTACAATAAAATAGATATCACTATAATACTTCACTATTCTGAACGTCAATAGCCGAAATAAAATAAACGCTTACTCTGAAAAAGACAACTTCACATCAATAGTGAAGTCTTCTGTTTCGATGTGTTTATATATAGGAGACCGACGAATGTATATTTGACTAATAATTATGCATTGATAATAAACACGTATGATTAGGCAGAAATAAATAGTAAAGACATAAAAAGACATTATAGGTAAGGTTGAAAAGTACTAAAACGGAAGTAATATCACCTACGATGGAAGTGTCATTTTATTATACGAGTTAGCAGTATGATGAAGAAAAAGAAAATAAAGATGCAGCACATTTCATCTGTCTTCAAAACAAGGGCAATTTCAATAAAAGCAAATAACTTATTCCTTTCATATGGCTAGCAAAAGAAAACTGGTAGCAGTACATTGTAAAATAAGCGTAGAAGGATGAACCCTGGAAACGAGTTTATTAGACTCATAAGCCCTTTTAGGATAAATACTGTTTTTGTAAATTCTTTCAAGGCTTACTATATATTTCATTTTTATAAACTCATGCCCAGTTATCAAGATATTAAATTTTCAGACGTTTATGAAAACAAATAGTAAACATTAAAAACGATTTATTATCTTTATAACCGAGCAAGGGTTTTATGAAAATTTGACGTATAATCTATAAAATTAATGAAAAATTTTAAAGAATCTATTATTCTAAGTTTTTTTTGTAACAGTATATTTTACATCATATACGAATAAATTCAATATTCGAATGGAATAACAAATTTTTTGAAAACTATCTAATCATGTGACTTATTCTGTTTGTTAGGAACACCTTGCTCTGATAACTAGATGGTGTATTCGTGTTTTATTCGAACACGAAACGTGGCGCGAAGTACGAATTTCGATTTTCGAAAAAAAGTAATCTTGATTCAACTGATGATTAACAATTACATGAATTAAACAACAACAACAATTATAGAATGAAGAATATTTTCCACTAGCATCGCGTTTATATTATTGTATAATTGAAGGAAATGAATATTTTCAAACAATTCAAACAAATGATCATTTATAATAGTTTTGAAATGATTTAGATTTTTTAAAACGCTTTTAATTGTTTTATTCTAACGACTGAATCTTTCAATGAGTTTTCGCTTTTTTTCTCTACCACATATAAATGCACATGGTGTTTTTTTTTTGTTTTTGTACTTTCTCCCTTTTTCTTCAAGAAATAACATCATTTGCTTTTTATTAATGTAAATATTTAATCAAAAAAATATCATATTTAATATTCAAAGATTGATACTAACAGATTTTAGTTCATGTAGGTTTTTTTTTACCGATTATTATAAAATTAATAAAACAAACAGCATTTAACAAGACTTTCGATTCTGTTCAATTTCGAAGAGTTTGATATGATTGTATCCAAATAGTTCTAAATCTGTTTTTGATAATCAAAAACTATACGATTTACTAAATTCGTCAGTCTTTATTACAGTAGTTTCATTGTTTATGAAATGAATAGGCACTAAATTCGCACGATCACAAACTGTTTTTTTTTCTCCTATTTTTGAACTATAAATAATTTATTATTGTCATTATCATGGTATTATTAGAATTCATATGTTTTCTGAGTTCGCCAGGATTGGAGAGAGAGAAAGAATAGATAACTTAGGAGACTGATTGAAAAGTTTTTAGTTAAGCCGATCGGATTTGGAAGGGGAATTGAGGATGTTTTATGGAATAGGTGAGCAATAAAAAAAAATAAGACAGTAACTCTGCTGAAGAAAAACGAAAAGTTTTCAAGATTGAAGAATCTTTTGCCTGCTTGAGATACTCCTGTTAGGCTACCATATTATAGTAGTAAAGAGTGAATGAAGTTAATTGTTATTCTGAAAGAAATATTTTGAGACCTTTCTAAACCATCATATTCTATTTAACTGTATTGATGATTGATTTCTATAACCCTGCGTGCCAAGTTCACATAAGTTTTTGAAACATTTTTGTTTAAGATTTTCAAATTTACTCAATTAAATATAAACATTGAGGCCGATTTTATTGACAGTGATCATTTGTTGTTATAAAAGAATTTTTTTAAAGTGACTCTTACAGCAGCATAGTGATGTAAAGAGATATATCGGTCATATCACTAAATAATTTATTCACAATTCTGCAACAAAAACAATCAAATGAACGATGAATAACGTAGACTTTTGTGAAGGTTAGGTAACGATAGTCTTATTCTATTGTTTTTCATACACATATCTTCATTTTGGTGAATGTGATTATTATTCTTACACTCATGTCATTTATAATTTGCAAATATATTTACGCATTTATGTGTTCATTTATTTTCTTTAGAAAATATTTTTATTGTTTTTCGAAAATACCTTTCTAGTAAATATTTGATATAAATTTGACATAAACTAAATACTTATTCAAAACGACAATAGAAAGAAAATATGGACAAGACAAAGTTATTCTTTTTTAAATATTAAAAACATGTAATGTTGAACATAAAAAATCGAAATGAGCACATTTCTCTTCAGTATTTAACTAAGTAATGATATTGTCTTATGGACAGAAAATAGTTGAACAGTTCGTTGCATATTTCAAAAATCAGTTCTAAATCTCTACAAATATTAAATATTCATCAAAAAAACATCTGTTGCAACCACTCAGCGATAACAATAATGTATTGACATGACCGAATAGGTGGTGGCTCAAAAAGATAATTTGTATTTCAAGAAACAAAAAAATCCAGCATAATTCTTACGACTTACTCTTCAAATACTAGATCATGTCACTCAATTGGATTGTTTTTATTGTTCTTGTTTGTTCGATCAATCAACACACATTAGTTGAGTAAATTTGCATTACCTTGACGTAACAAGAAAACTGTTGGATTAGATTCATGTTAACTATTTCATCACCATTCTATTATTCAAAATACGGATTGATTGTTTATTTTGATTAATAATCATAGTACTGCAGTGTATAAGACTTATTTCATTTTTTCAAACACTTTTTTCTACTGTAAGCTCGTAACTTTATCTATTCCATAGTTTTTGGAAAATTACTTTTATGGTTTACCATTTTTAAATATGAACATTCAAATACATTTAAAGTGTTTTAATGCATGAACAATCGTTATTGGAAGTTAACTAAGAAAAAATATCTCAATGTTAGTTCAATTTCAGAAAGATGACTATGAAATTAGAAATAAAATGTAATGAATTTATTTTTATATTGCAATGAATGACAACAAAAGATAAACTAAATAAACTAACAGAATACAGTGTATTCTTGAAGTTCTTTTATCGTGTGAAATATACGATTAAAAGTCTTTGACTCATGGTACGCGGCAGTAACATTTTTTTTTTTGACATTTAATCTTAATCAAGCCTACGTCACATTCCATTTTTTGCTTTTTTATGTTCAACCGTACCATCAAAGGAATGTTGAATTTAAATAAACCCATAGAGATTTTAGTCTGCTGAACGGCAGGACTACTTAATCATTTTTTTTAAAATTTTCTCGATGACCTTTAATACTGATGAGCTCTTCAACTATTTTAATTTTAACTTCACTCTTTTAAAATTCGGTAAGCTCATTGATAGCAAGAATATAGTTATCGGCTACGTAAAGATTATAAAGAGATTACTATTGTCTATTATCCATGGAACTTATGTCTATAAAATAATCGACATCATCATAAGCAAGTTTTGGCGATAGAGTTAATTGAGCACGATCTTTCTTCAGGTGCTCCGAATCTTTTCGTTGTGAAAGTACAATTTACAGTTTCTTGACATACATTTACACCTGCAATTTCTGTACTTGGATTTCAGGTTGATTATCTTCTTCATCCTGATCATTAATAATGAAAAACTGAAGTAGTTTACTGTTAATAAAACTCATCATTTCATTGATTATGTCAAGATTTCGTCTATAGTTTATAGTTGTTTGTAAAATATTCATTGTACCATCAATAGATTGCAAATTCCATTTTTTTTTCACTGTTCCTTAAACTTCTTTGATAATTATAGAAACTATATCTCCAACAGTGTCAACATTCGTTACATTGTGAATAACAAAGATGTTTTTGTTACGCTTTGAATTTTTACAATGCATTAATACCTGCTGAATATATGTTAGATCACTAGTACATAAACGATTGACTACGATGATGATAAACGAACATAACATTCGCTCCTGGAATTGTGATCCCAGTCTAACTGATTGTAACGGATGCTGAATATGATTCTTTATCGCATGGAGATATTTTCAAGGGTATCATCGCGCAAAAAATATGGTTTTGATCGCGTTTCCATGATATTGCTGTTTGTATTCTTGTGATGATTATTGATGTAAGTTAAGTTAACAGTGGATTTCCGTTATTTATCAAAATATTTGTTTACTGAATTTGTCCAAAAAACGAAATATTGGCTTTGCGAAATTGCGCAAGGAATATACGTATCTTGTCATGGTTACCTTTGAAAAGTCTATCGCAAGAAACTTAAAAATTGATCCGAGTAAAAAGCGAAGGATTTATGGCGATCGTTCTTTATAGAAGTGGGGCACATTGAGGAAACATTTGTGCTGGTTAGAATCTAATGAAATGTATTGATTAAGATGAAATTTTCGATTTCTATAGAAAAAGATGCAAGTTGCTTAAAAACCGAGTATCAAGAGGAAATGTTGATGTTTCTGAAATAATCTCGAACACTTCTTTCCAGCAACAATCCTCCACTGTTAAAGACTTAGAAATGTTTGACATCCTATTGAAATATTTTTTTGTCAAGAATAAATGCCATTTAGGCTGTAAACTTTTCCTTTTGAGTTATATCCAGTCGTAAACTTATTATATCTTCTTAGTGATATTCTGTTTTCCATTTTGAAAGTGTCTCAATTTAATTATCTTGCCTTTTTAATTGCATTAAGTTCCAAATCAGCATCTTGAACCGCTTCTTTTTCAGGTGCTACTTGCACATAAAATTTATTAGACATAAATTCTTTGATTTTTTTCAGTTTTTCAAGTATTGTGTCTTTGTTTTTGATACATTCTCTAAATTTATTAATATAAGTCATACATTTGACTTTTTGAAATCAATTGGAAATAGTTGTAAATCCACTTTTTGAATGTTAATCAGCCCAGTCAACTATGCTTTTCATCTCTTCCTATGTAAAACGATTTTTGATATCAACATCTTCATTATCATTATCATTTAAAATCTCATCGCTGAATTCTTCTTCGTCAGTTATTTCATCGTGGAATTCAAGAATATCATAAATATAACGCTCACTAAAGTAGTCATCTTCAAATGACTTCTGAACTTTGAATAATTGTGGTGCAGCAGCAATTTCATCAGTGCTTGCGGTAGAATTTTTGAAGTATGAATCAATTTTTATCATATATAGAAAATGGTTCACGATATCTAATAGATTCATGTTTTGATACAATGAAGTAAACGTTTTTAAGTGATGTATTCACAGAGTATAGGCGAGCATAATTCTCCAAAATTAACTTTTCGTGTAATTCTCTTACACCGATTGGTAAATAAAAAATCAATAGAAACTATTCATACATTAGTATTCATTTTTTTCGATTATTCAAATCCTCTTTTCTATGTTTTTATTAACGTTATTGTGACCTTATAGAAAGCATCTTATGGTCACCAGTGAGGTGTCATCCATCTCTCTTACTCATCAATAGCTTAATATAAGAACAGTTTCATAAGTTATCAAGCGACGCATCAACGCATTTAAAATTTAAACATTTCCCGTACGAGTTACCTTTTCTAACGCTATACAGATTTTTCTCTCATTTCGATATTACTTGAGTTATAAAAGACATCACAACTAATGTGATATTAATATGATCAATAAATTTCAAAAAACTTCTTGAAAAGTACTGTCGGTATACTCAATTGATTGTATAAAAAGTGGATAAAAATAATCTTCATATTCTGATGTTTCTATACTCAAACTGTACGTACAATAAAATTCTAATATCTCCCTTTGAGCACGCCAACACTAGGCTATAGTTTTAATTCATTAGTTTGGCGGTGATAGCTTTAATGTGATCCGAATATGTCTAATGTTATTAACTAACAACACAAACACCTCCATTGCTGGTTTTCTCTAATGCTTCCACATTATGAAAACGAAAACAGCATTAAAAAAAGGTACTTTTTACTCTCTTTGTTTATATTCAAAACAACTGATAATGTATAATGAATCAAAGAAAATATCAAAGGATAAATTCATAATATTTATTCGAAATATGTCAATGCTTATGAATACAGTACTCTTAATAATGAATTTCACAATGGATACTTTTCACTTTGACTAAGACCACAAAGATGTAATAGATAAGGAATGTAAATTTTTTGATTTATATTGACAAAATAAAAGTCTGATTCTAATAAAACATCAATATCTTTTCATGAAGAGCGTTTATAATTAGTCGTAGAAAGAATAAATTTGTTTTTTTTAAACAGGAATCGATTTTATGAAAATTGATATTCGAAGTTCAAAATCGCATCTAGCAGTCGAGGGAAACTTAAATGCCATTTTGTTTTATTTTTAAATTATTTCTTTCGAAAACTCTTATTCAAAACAAAAACAATACTAAAATCATTCTTTTCTAAAATCGAAATCAACTATATAAATGTACTTCTACATTCATGGACTCATATTTCTTTCGTTTTATTCAGAAAAGAAAAAAGTATCGACACCTTTTTTTTGTTTTCTTCTAAAAATCACAGTCCATGATTTTTTTCTGGTTCTTTAAATGACGTATTCAACCGATCATTTTTATCAATTAGAACTATGCAGATCTGTACGTCACAAAAATCATTTCTTACATGATTTTTAAGCTTTTTTCTTCTTGTGATATTATCTATTGCAAAAAAATAAATGCCTATTTCGATATGGTTGATTTACTTTACACTCATAGGTGACTTAAACAAAATTTTCTATTGGAAGCAATACATTTATTTATTATGGATGACAATAAAAAATATTTGAGTTCAAGTCTTACATTTATCAGATTATTTATTTTCAAAATATTTTTTTCGATAAAATTTCATTTACAATAATATCTTAAACATTTAGAATACCATGTTCAATATAAACTTAAGGTAATTGAAGTAGTCTCTCTTGATCTGTTGAAAATGTGACTGTGGATAGATGCAGAAAAGATTAATACCTACACCATAGTGGCAAAACTAGAAGATCATCGCTGATAAGATACTGCTCCACATGATTGGGAAAATTCATGAATTATTGTGTCCATGATGGTAACCATTACTTGTTTCTTTCTTCTGGTGGCAGGACGGCGCACGGTGTAGTCCACAATTGGTTACATCATTACTATACTAGTATCCACACATTTAAGATGATGACATTGATATTGCATCATATCTCTCATCTAATATAATTGTTTTATTTATATTTACAATAGCTGTATTCATAGTCGTACTGTTACATGCATTACATTTTTCTTCTAATGAAGCTTCTCACGGTGTTGTGTAAAATAGTAAGAAGCTTTACCTTTTTTGTGACATTTAGCTAATAAACTGGAAGCTAATTACAAAATTATAAAAGACAAAAAAAGAACATAAAACAGACAAAGCTGACAGACACCTTCTTTCTTTGATAGATGAAAAAAACACTGGTCTTTGTATTTCTCTAATTATAAGATATCAATTAATTGACATAAAGTTTCTATATAATTTCATCTTCTAATGTTTTTTTGGAAAGCAATTGCACTATTTATTGCTTTGGTGGTGCGTCACCTTTGTTCACGCTGTATTAAATTGTGTCCTTGTAAAATGTTTTTCTTGATGAACATTGACTTTATAAACAAGAAAGCACCATACAGTTCTAAGCAGAGAGAAATTTCTAATAGTTTGCATAAAACTAAATATCCTTTATTCTATGTGAAAAAAACAACAACAGCAAATTGACATATAAAATAAACTAATCAACGGAAAACTATCAACTCTTCGTTCCAGTGATTAGCCAATAGGAGAAAGTGACCAGCTTAAAAAATAAAAAAAGTTGTTTAAAAGCTTTCTTTTTGAGCAAAACGATAAGTATGTCTTCTATATGTTTTAATCATTAATCCAGATTTATAATAATATCGAATACCACGTGAAAAACTCTCATAATCCATTGGTCCATGGGTTCGTCGTAATTTTACTTTTTTCCAAAGACTAGCAACTTTTGCTGGATTATGAATTTTAAATAAACCTTCATTTTTGTTTACCCAAGATGTGTATGCAGCATAACGTGGATTATAAAGAAGTAAACGAAGAAATTCAGATAATTTTGGAGGTCTCATTTTCAATGATGAAAAATCATGAATAATCCATTCGTTAGCATTAAAACATTCTGTATCATCATTATTTTCATTTAAAGGTGATGAACTTTCATCTTTTGAAGATGATTCAGGATTACCAGACACACTGAAATTGGGTGTCTTTTCAAGAGAATTCATTTCATAATGCATTGCTCCATCACTAATTAAATCATCAAATGGTTTGTGAGGATCATCACGAGTAATATTTAGAACTGTTATTAAATCTTCATAAATTTTTTGAAATTCCCATTCTTTTAATTCATCGTCATCATTTATCGAAGAATTGGAATTCAATAGATCACAGATATTTGCATCAATATATTCAAATAATGCTTCCATTGAATCAGCAATAAACGGCTAAGTTGTTGATAGTAATTGATTCTCACACTTTTTTCTTTTGATAAATATATAGTAAAACAAATATCAATAAAATACTTCACTTCAATAATGAAGTCTTCCATTTGGACGAATTTATATATAGGAGACGACGATTTTATTTTTAAATAATAATCATGCTTTCATAATAGATAGTGATGATTTTGTATCGAAAAACAGTGAAAAGAAATTACAAAAAAAAAATAGGTAATATCTCAGGTCACTAATATGTGAAATGACGTCAGTTAAGAGAAACCTTGCATCTTGGCCAATTATATGAGTCAATACTATGATCGAAGAAAGAAATAAAAAACATACGGTATGTTTTTTTGAGCTATCAAAACAATATTAATTTAAATAAAATTTACTCTTGTCATATTACTAGAATATGAAAATCAATAGCAGTACACTGTAGAAAGCAGCATAGATTAATAAACCATTCAAAAAAAAATGGATTAGCCTCATAAATCCTATATCAAATTATCATAGGTTCTTCTAGAATAAATGCCATTTTCATGAACTCTTTCATGGCTTATTATACATTTCATTTTTCTAAACCCATGCTTAAGTATGAACATGATAAAACTTGAGACGTTTACGAAAACAAAGAGTAAACATTAATAGAATTTATTATCTTTATAACTATGCAAATGCTTATGACAATTTGAGGTAGAGTCTATGAATCTAATAAATGATTTTGAAGAGCTTATTATTTTACATTCTTTTTGTAACAGTGTATTTGTATTGATTAATAGATCATTAACATTAGTAGAACGTGAATCCAAACCAATAAAGCTACGTTTCATTTTGAGTCACTAAAAAATGTCAGCGAAGAAATATCAATGAATAATTCAGAATTAGTACTTGGAATTGCATAAAATCAAGTTTTTAGTCGTATAATAATCAAAACTGAGTGTGAGTTAAAATTTAGAATGTAGAAACTGAGCTTTTGTCAGAGCTCCCACTTCTTAGGATCAAAAAGGCAGAAAATGACTGGAGTTCTCTTATCAAAAAGACACAAAAGAAAGTGGAAAGCAATTTCCTAATCCGAAATGACTCTTACAGGTTTTCTAACGTTGTAAGAAGAAAATTTCACATTAGGCTATAGGTTTGCTTTTGCTCAACCAGAGAAGCGCAATTTAAACAGATAAGCAAAACTGTAACATATAGTTTGTTTTAATTGAATATTTTTTCTCTGAGTTAGTAGTTACCGCTAATTTTGGTTCTATGTTCATCGTATCGATATAACCGAATGATGGTCTATCTAAGGCTGTAATTGGATACTTAATACAGTACTTGGTACTGATGGTACTAAGTACGTAAAAATCTTAAGTACAAGTACGTTTTTCGTAGTACAAGTGCATGTATTTTTTACTTAACAATTGTACTTTCTACTTTTCCTTAAGTATATTTATTTAAGTCAGCTTGTACTTAATAGGATGCCCTCTTTCCTATCTGAATACTTTTAGATTGTTCATTTTTGTTTTTTTCTTATTTGCATGAGGTTCTCAGTATCTTCCACCTTTTAGACATATTTAACAACTCTACAACGGCTTTAAAGTGGTGAAAAATGAACGAAATGAAACTTTTCCAAATAATCTTTAAAAATAACAGTGAATATATAAGGATGTGGGTGAGTCTATGGTCCTTTTGATTTCAAATTGAATTTTGAAAAAAAACAGCAACCTTTTTCCAAAAAAACTGTGAATCTTGCGGGTATTTAGAATTGTGATGATGATATCTACAGTATATACCACCTATTCTAATTGGTTGCGCATTTTGCGAGTCTTTAGAATTATAATCATGATGTAGATAGTATATACCCCCTTCTTTTTAATAGTGTGAGTCTTGCGGGTGCAAATGAGTTGTGGTGGCGCGAGTATGAGGTGTCGGTGTGGATAGACGTGAGTGTGAGTATCGTTGAGACAAGAAGCACACTCACACCTACATCCCATCATTCAAGAGATTTCAAAACTTCAGGACTTCATGTGATCTCACGATCAAAGTCTCTGCTATTTAAATCTGGGTTCTATCTCACCTCATTGGTGTTATGGCAATCCCTATATTATCCACTACAATAGCAAGAACATTCAGTCAAATGAAACTTATTAACACGATTGCACGTATATTATGTCCAACATTAGACTGAGTGCTTTGTCTTTGTTGCCTATTCAGAGAAATAGTATTTCTGATTATGAAAAGGTAATTGATGCTTTGCCAATTCAACATAAGGACAGTCGAATACAGTCAAAATAATTATTACTTGTTTATCCTCATTTTTTGTCTTTTTTTGCTAATATTATTTCATTTAATAAAAGATCAAATTGAATTGCTTTATATCACTCTCAAGAAACGAGAAAGACCAGAAACTGGATTTTTCTAAAAAAAAGGTTTTAAATTATTGTGGAATGATTTTTCAAAGATCATGAGGCACTGTCTTCCCATCCACAATTTCTGGATACGCCACTAGTTCAATTGCGTGAATAAAGTCTCATAATCGAATTGATATCTTCTGCTTTTTGATCTTCAATAGGCAGCATTCCATTTTCTCACAGAAAATGACCCAAACGAAAACAGCAACAAAAGCTAACCGCTACTCCCTATGTTTATATCTAAAATACCAATACAAAATAGCTTATGATACATAATGAACCATAGAAACAGTCAAAGAATGAATTGATTATGTTCATTCGAAATATGTTAATACTTGTGAATACAGTTCTCTTACTTATGAATATCACAACGGATACTTTTCACTTTGAGTTACACTTCGATGATCTAATTGATATGAAAGTAAATGTTTCGATTTACATCGACAGAATAGAAGCTTCATTCAAGTAAAACATAATTACCTTTTGATGCAGAGCGTTTCGTAATTAATCTTAGAAACAATTATTCGTTTTTTATCAAAAATCGATTTTACGAAAATTGCCGTTCGAAGTTTCACGTCATATTTAGCAGTCGAGTGAAACTCGAATTTCATGTAGTTTTATTTTTAAGTAATTTCTTCTGAAAATCTTCATCGAAAACAAAAATAATACTAAAAGAGTTCTTTTCCGAAATTGAAAACTAACTGTATTAATCTACTCATTCATTGATCCATACCTCTTTCATTTAATATACCAAAAAGGAAAAGTATAGACATCTTGTTTTGTTCTACTAAAAAAACGTAAGCTATGATATTGTCTGTTCCCTTAAAGGATGCACTCAATCGATCATTTCTATTAATTAAAAACTGTCCAGACCTTTATGTCACGCACGTCTCATATCGTGCATGATTTTTCGTTTTTTTTCTCTTTTTGTGATATCATCTATTGTAAAACATGAATCTATTTGGACATGGTTGATTGGTACATTATACTAAATATTACCCTTGTAAAGTGTTTTGCTTTGTCAAATATTGAGTTTTTAAACAAATAAGCGCTATGAAATTTGAAGCAGAGAAAAATTTCGTATAGTTTGTATAAAATTAATTATTCTTTATTCTATTTCGAAAAAAATACTTTGATATATAAAATAGACTAATCAATAGGAAGACCAACCAATTAAAGAAATATTTTTAAAAAATGTTTAAAAGTTTTATTTTTAAGCAAAACGATAAGTATGTCTTCTATGTGTTTTAATCATTAATCCAGATTTATAATAATATCGAATACCACGTGAAAAAGTCTCATAATCCATTGGTCTATGGGTTCGTCGTAATTTTATTTTTCTCCAAAGGCTAGCAACTTTCGCTGGATTATGAATTTTAAATAAATCTTCATTGTTATTTACCCAAGATGTATATGAAGCATAACGTGGATTATTAAGAAGTAGATGAAGAAATTCACATAATTTTGGAGGTCTCATTTTCAATGATGCAGAATCTTCAATAATCCATTCGTCGTCATTAAAACATCCTGCATCAGCATTATTTTCATTTAAAGGTGATGAAGTTTTACCTATTGAAAGTGATTCAGGATCATCAGATGTTTTTGAATCGAATGCATGTCCAGGAAAATTCCTTTGAGAATGCATTGCTCCACCACTATTCGAATCATCAAATGATTTGTAAACGACACTAGGAAAGTTTTCAACTGTTATTAAATTTGTATAAATTTTCAGACTGTCACCTTGTAATATTTCATCGTAACCATTGATTGAAGAGTTGAAATCAAATGGATCAAGAATATTTTCATTAATATATTCAAATAATTCTTTCATAGAACGAACTATGAAAGGTAAAGTTGTTGGTAGTGATTGATTTTCACACATTTTTCTATTGATAAACAAATATACAATAAAATAAATATTGCCGTAGTACTTCAATATTCTAAGCATCAATAGACGTAAGCTTACTTCGAAAAAAAAATACATGTAATACTTCGCGTCAATAGTGAAGTCTTCCATTTTGATGCATTTATATGTGGGTGACGACGAATTTATTTTTGACTGATAATCATGCATTGATAATAAACGGTGATGACTTTCTAGAAATAAATAAATCAGAATTTAAAGAAAAATTATAAATAATGTCGATGGTCACCAAAAAGGAAGTAATATCATCTGAAATAAATGTTTTATATTTTTTATTTATATGGGTCAACAGTATCTCTCCCACAAAAAAATGTACCCTTTTCCAATTAATCTTCTCATCATCTAATAATCTGTCTTTAAAAAACAAAATATACGAAAAGATGCAACGTGAAAAGCTCTACAATCTACAAAGGACTGATAATTTTATTTTTGCACTTCTTGTTTTCAAAATGGCCAAAATTCTGTGCGACTAATTTTTAGCGCTTCGAACAAAATCAGTTTTTTTGGTACACGATCAATTTCTTTTCTTATTGTTTTGGCTAATGAGTTGTATGGAAAGTCATATTCGATGGTCGAACAATGGGATAAAGTGAAAAAAACATGATTCATTAATTGATAACATAAGAAAAGGAATTCACCATGTACCAAAAAATTATTTTTTCCGAAGTGTCAAAAGTTAATGGTTCAGAATTTTGTCCATTTTGAAAACAAAAAGTGCAATTATAAAAGAAGCTGTCCTTTATATATTGCAGAGCTTTTCACGCTGCATCTTGTATATATATTTGTTTTCTATCCGAGGGAGAATATCACGAAAATTATACATTTTTGTATATGTCGTATAAATCTGAAACAGTAAATCAGTAAAACGGACTTCATATATATACGTGTAGTTTAACTTGTGCTCTATCCATGGATGTATAAATAAAGATATAATAATAAAGTATAGAGAAGAACGAGCAATTAGAAAAAGGTACTTTTTTTGTCTATGAGTTAGTATGATGGAAGAAAAGAATATAAAAATACAGTACATTTCTTCTGTCATAAAAAAAAACAACAATTTTAATAAAAACAAAGTCTTATGATATTGCTAGCAAACAGAAGTTGGCAGCCGTACGCCGGAAAAAAAGCGTAGAACATTAAACTCTTCAAAGGAGTTTATTAACCTAAAAAAACCTACATCAAACTATTATAAGTTCTTTGTAAGATAAATGCCATTTTCATAAAATCGTTCAAGATTTATTATGCATTTTATTTTTGTAAATCCATGCTCATTTATAAAGATCATAAACCTTCAAACGTTTATGAAAGCAAATAGTAAATATTAAAAAGTATTTAGTATCTTTATAACTAAACAAATGCTTATGAAAATTTGAGATATAGTCTATGAAATTAATAAACGATTTGAAAGGCTTATTATTTTACATTTTTGTATAATCGTGTATTTGAATTCATTAATAGATCATATGTGAATGAATTCAATAATCGAATGGGATAATGAATTCTTTGGAAATTATCTATACTCATTTGACTTATTTCGTTTTTTAGGAACGTTTTACTCTGATAATAATTACAATGAAAGAGTTTCTAATAAAGTGAATTCATAATACAACCTTTCAACTTGCTATGAATTGTTGAAAAGAAGAATGATTGTCATCTATTTAAACATATACTTTCAACAGCAAACAATTTATGCAAAGTTTTTACATTGATTTGAATTAAGAAAATGTTCATGAAACTGTTTCAAAAATTGTTTGCGTCTATATCTAGATTTGACTTTTGAGTAACAATATGTTCAAGTCTATAGAAAAGATCATATATCAATATCTACTAAAATTGTAAAATACACAATTGGTTAAACAAGATTAGTAATGATTGTTATTGAAAGAGAAAATGATATAAGTAGAAAAATTGACATTTATCATATGGAAATATTCCGAATGAAAATCTTTGCTAGAAGCTTGATTTTGAGTCACTGTTCAACATTAGCGAAGGAATGTCAGTGAATAATTGAGAATTAGTACCTTCAATTGCATCAAAGCTAATTATTGGTGAAAGATTAATAAAAAGTAAGTATTTGTTGAAGTTTAGAATGGAAAAAATCAGTTTGCTTTAATAGTTTTCTTTCAATAGAACAATTTTCTAAGAGTATCCACTAAATTCGAACTTACAAAGGTCTAATACATTTTAGGCATTGAACAATCTTTTTTTTCCAATATCATACTTGATTTAACAGATTGACAAAGCTGAAAAACTATTTTTTTCTATATCGGTTCAGTAAAAACCTATTTTATAAACTACATAGCGTCTCTCAAAAGTCTGTCTTAACACAAAAAAAAGAAACTGTGAATTTCTTTTGAACGGTTCATGTAATTGACACTATTTTTTATAGTATGATAGTGTTTCCGTTGAACTGTGATTCTATATATTTTCTAGTAAATGTCTATGACTACAAATATTAGAACATATAGTTTCATTCATGGCTGGAGTTAATTTACCTATTGTAGTGGAAAGAAAAATGTAAGTCGAATCGAGCATATAAGCGCCAGACGTTGACTGTATTAGAGATACTTGTCAACGCTGTTTTTAAAACCTATTACAGTGGTAAATCGAAACTGATTTGACATGAAAGGTGTTCAAATACTATCGAAGAAAAGCATACCGATTTGTGACTGAGTATCTTTCAATGATGTCATACAAGGCATAGTTCGTCCAATAACTTCACCACGAAGATTCATCAGATTCAGTTGAAGTTGTAAAACTTTGGTATACCAATGTAAGAGAACATTAATAGTCAAGAGAATTTGTTGTTTATTTTCTTTTCGAATAAAACCGCAGCCAATATACATGTATATGCGACATTTGTGAAGATCTGATTAAATTCAAAATGAGAACCAATAAAAGAGATAAATGAATTCGAAAAATAGATTTTTGCAGTGTTTTTTTAAATCTTTTGGAAAACGATGAAATTGTATGTTTTTAACATAATAGTAATCATTTTCAATATTCATTATAAACCAAATTATATGAAATAAAACTCTAAAGAACATATTATAAGATTGAAAAGAAAAGATAAGTCACTTGGACTATTTGAGAGATGTCTACGTTTTTGTTTAGCAGTGAACTTTTGAGACAAGTCTTATTTTTCAACATTCTTTTTTGCTCATAACATTTTCGAACACTTCCTATCAAGGTCTTTTTTTCCATTACTATATGGCCTTTTCTCATTATAAAATCAAATAACCTATGAGCCATCCGGGATTGGACCAAATGTAAATGCAATTTTCCTCTCATTTATTATTCATACATAATACGCATCAGATACTGAAGAGAATTATAAAACCTTCATTTGAATTCAGTTCGACTTGACTGCACTATTACAGAAGAAGGATATTTTTATTTTCGCCCATGTTACCTACTATTTATTTTGCAATGTTTTTTTTTCTGAGCAGGCTACTTAATTTTCTAGTTCCCTATTCTAGTCACATTCCTATATTTGATCTATTCATGCATATTCAAACATTATTTATTTGTTTAAAAGAAAAGCACAATTGAAAGTATACTTTTTACAGTACAACTACTCGTAAAAGTTCGATATTAAAGAATCTGAGAACCATGACATAGTTGACACTAGCACGATCGGATTTTCATGAAATGAATAAATATATCAAAATTAGATGAACGAGAACTAATTACTATGAAAATTAGTTCAAAAGCTTTATAATAAAAGGATAACAGATTGCTTTTGAAAAAAAAACATATCTGAAATAAATAAATTAAACAGATACAAAAGAAACAGTAGGCAAAAATCATTCAACAATCTTGAGATTATTAGAAATATCTACTGTTGCACTGATATAGATTTATCGTTAAAACTTAAAATATGTTTTCATTATTAAATTTATCATCCCTAAAGATTGCTATAAAATTGTAAACAAACACTTATCGAAAAAGTATTGAATCTATCGAAGGATATTAAAATTAAAGTATATATCTGCATCATTTGATTATACATACGCAACTAGTGTTTCCAGTTACAACTAATAGATGGACTTGATTATAACTTCTAAACTACTATTCTTTTCTGTTTTATCTGTATAACGTGTTTGAGTCCATTATCAGTTTCACGGGACATCATTATGTCAATTCAATTAGTGTTAATAACACATTTGTAGCTGAAAGTTTGAGCTTTTATTCTTTTGCTTCAAATTTCTCTCTCCGGAGAACAAATTGAGTAAAAGAATCTCTATTCGATTCGATTTCGATCTCTAATATTCATTCATATAATTAGGGTAAAAAATAGAGAACTTCAAGTTTTGCAGAACTATAAACTTCACTTTAAAAAAAGTACTCTTTGCCTTTGCATGGCAATTCAAACATTTATATATATATCCTCTAAATTCTAGCTGTGATACATCGTTGCTCGTGATTTGAAAAAGCATGCTTCAGTTTTGGATATCCGAGTTTTTCTAGCGAATTGAAAATCTCTTGGAAGTATTTTTCATGGTGATTTTGGCAACATTTTTTTAAACAATCAAATTTTTTAAAGTTTAATTTCAGTTACAATATTCTTATTTGAACACCAAACAATGCAAAATTTCATTCTCTACAAGACTACAAAGCTGATGAATTGTAGTGTGACACGTTTTCATCAGAATTCATGAAAAATCGAACAGTCTCCAAAATGAATGCAAAAAACTTTGTTCTCTTGTTTTCATTTATTGTGTCCATAATTGTTACTTCAAATTATCGTGTAAAGTTTTCGAAAATATAGCTGAAAAGATACACGGCAATGACAAATAGGAAAATAACAATATGTTAGTCATTGATCTTAGAAGATATTTGTGAAAAAAACAAAACGTTTTTATAATATACTATTTATAGGTATTTTAAAACGAAATGTATGTTTTTTATGTGTTTTAATCATTGATCCAGATTTATAATAAAACCGTAGTCCACGTGCAAATTTATCATAATTCATAGTTCCATTTGTTTTTCGATTTTTAACTTTTGACCAAAGTTTAGCTACTTGTTCGGGAGCATGAATTTTAAATAAACCTTCATTTTTATTTAACCATGTTAGATATGATGAATAATATGGACGGTCTAAAAGAAGATATAGAAATTCATTTTGTCGTGGAGCTCGTCGTCTTCTAGAAGTTGGATCTATTATTAACCATTCTTTAGGATTCACAGAAAATTCGTTAGAATCATCATTAGGTTGCATGATATTATTCAATAATGAATATTCTGGAGTATTAGTAACAGATATCGGATATAAAGGTGTTAATGATTTATGATAAAATATATTATCATTTTTAATATCTTCATTAATACAAATACATTTGTCAAAAGAAGTAACCTTAGTATATTGATTTTCTTCTATTTCAACCAGTGATTGAAATTCTGCACACTGTAACCATGTTGAATTTGTATTGTCATGATAATTGATCATGATTATAGGAACCAACTGCTTAATTTATAAGTAGACAAATAATTCTATTTAAAAAAAAAGCAAAATTCTCACGATAGAGCCTTTTTACTATTACCAAAAAGGAAGTTCTTCTTTATTCCTTATTACACATTTAGGAAGTAATATCATGCATCATAAAAAAGCACATGTTGTTTAGCAATCAGTAATACTCGACAAGAAAAATACAAATTTTATTACGTTGATGTATGTTTCTACCAGACAAATCTTTCATACGTAAATTATTTTCCTATTTTCTTCGTTATGAATAGACGATGACACGTAATAAATGCATTCATTCGATATATTTACTTTCGAATTTATTATTTCGAAATCGAGTTTTTTCTAAACATGACTCATTGAAATGATAAAAGAAAAAACGAATCCTTTTCTTCGAAATTATGAATATTGATTCTCAAATTTGATATTTTCATTAAAATAAAATCGCAATCAATAAGCTGAAAAAAAATATTACATAGTTTTTTGACTTCCTTCAATCTGTTTTCTCCAAAAAACTTGATTAACTTTCTATGTTTATGAACTTAAAATATTTTATAGTATTCAAAAATTTTTTTATTTGTCACTTCGTGCAAATAATTTTATTGGCTCATGTTTTACATGTCTTCTTGTTTTATTTGCAGCATAACTTCAATTAAATATATCTTTAATAGTTCAACTCATATTATCAGCAGAATAATTCTATTCTTACAAAATGTATATCAGTTAAACAGACCATTTAATTTGTTTACTATTGAATGGTTGAAATCAATTCAATATTTTCGTATGAAGACAAAATAATCTCTCATGTTTTTTTTTCAAATATATTTCTATTTTATTTTTGATCATATTCCAATGCAATTTTATTAATCGACTATATTGAAAAAATAATTTTTTTAAAATACATTTGTACGTCATTAACAAAGTAAAATTTGTTTTTAAATTCATTTATATTAAGATTATTATAACGAGGAAAAATTGAAAATTTAGTTGCAGTTTAAGTCAACATTAAATTTAGAAAATTGTCTTCATTGACAAAGAAAAAAAAGTTTCTAACAATAGATTTTTTTTCATCGATATTTATATATTACTTATTTCATCTTTGTAAATATTCAAGAAGTTTCCAAAAGCTTCAATAATATTTTTTTTAATTAATATAATTATTTATCAAATATTATATTATCTTTTTTTTTGGTGTGTTTGAAATGATCAATTCCCATATATCATGTATTATTATTAATAATAGTTTCTTTTTTTTCTAACATATATACAGTTCGATATTACTCGAGCGGTGTTTGCTATGTAGCCCATTGAGTTAGAAACAAAACAAAATGATGTCAATAAGATTGTCCGTACTTGTTGTGATTGATTAGTTAATATATCTAATCTTGTCAATGAGTATGAAAAAAAGAAGCAGTTATGTGAAAAAAATGCCTTTCTCCTTTATATCTGATCATTACTGTGATAAAGGTACATTTGTCTTTGTAGCATAATGTTTATATAATTAGTTTCATATAAAAATTCAGATATATATTTTGACAATGCACGAAGAAGAGCAATATAGAGACCTTTGATAAACATAAACCATAGCTGCTAGATTGTCACATCGCAAATATAGCACTGGACAAAAATTTTTACCTTCCATAAACTTTCTAGAAATATTGGAACTTTCTGTAGTATTAGTATAAGTAGGCGATAGTAGTCATTCTCTGATTAGAATCATTATCCATTCCCCGTCCACGTTGTTTTCAATTGTTAGTTCTGAAGTATGACTTTATCCATACACTATCGGCATGAAATCGTCTTTCTTTCTAACCATCCGTTGAATCCAAAGCTCGATCACAAGGCTGTGGCATAAGCAGTCAAACGATTTGAGCGATTCAACTCGATCTCGTCAATCGCGTGCAACAATCCCAAACCAGGAATAACAAATGATCGTTACCAGTACGAGTATTTCAAATAAACTAAAGTGAAAACGAATCCTAGTCAACGAGAGAACAATACAGCAACGTTTGAACGAAGTACAAGAGAAATACAGTCGGCCCATAGCAGAGCCGTTACTGAATGAACACCATTGAGAGAATCGTTTAGAATGGACTCGACAGTACATAGCCACGAACTGGAATCAAGTGATGTTTTCTGGCAAGACTACCATCCATTTGGTTACCATCAAATCATTCACTAGGATTACGGTAGAAAAAAAAGAAGGTTGTGCGAACCATCAAACAAAAGATCAAAGTCATTTTGTAGGGTTGCTTCTCAAGTCAAGGCTTCAGTCGCATGGTCTGCTACAGAACGAATCTCGACGCGAAATGGATGGGTAATATTTATAAATATGGCCTCATGCCAACAGTCAAGAAATAGTTTGGTTCCGATTCAACTGACTGGAAATTGCCCGAAGACAATGATCCTAAACATACGTCGTAATTGGCAGCCAATTGGAAACAGAACAATGAAATCCACCAAATTGATTGATCGTCAATTTCGCCCGATCTTGCGCCGATCGAACATGTTTGGCAAATTATCAAAACAAAGTTCAACACTTATCGATCGTTGGCTTCGGCTGTAAAGCAGAAGTGGAAGGCATTCCCATAGGAGTTGCCCATTAAATTTGTACATAGTATAAATAATCGCATTTCTGAAGTTGTTGAAAGTCAGGATGATTTTATATTGTTTTAATGCTCAGCATATACTACAAACTTCTACGCAGTAACAAAAACTACCCATCGTATAGGTGCACCTAGTAATAGGCATACAGGGAACGTGCAGACTTTTGTCCACTACTGCACAAACAATTTAATCCACGATATTTAAATCGACCGGATCCTATCATTTCTCTTCCACGATGAATCATAATACTACAGTAATACTATTTACAGCAAAACAAGTTTCAATGTTTCAATATGATCGGTATAAAGCATTTTTGGATATTTTCTTTGTTTCATTTAGTTCAGTTGACAACAGCAAACAGTTCATTAATTTGCTGATTAATACCGATGAGCATATATAATTGTGCGTTATATTCTTTTGTTAAAAGAATTTTATCAAAAAATATATAATAATATTTGATACTTCTCTGAATAATAACTTTCAATATATGCTTAATACTGAATAAAAAAGAACAATTTTGTACAATGATGTTCCATTATCAAAGAAATGACGAATAATTGATAAGTCAAACTGTGTAGAAAATTGATATCATTATATATCCGTATGGTATCGGTACAATACTGTAATATTTTTGAATTTATGACTAAAATATGTGAGGATACTGTATGCATCTTTTCCATTTATACTAATGATGAAACTCTGGTTTTTGTTCTAAAATCAAATCATATAGATCACAAAATAGACAGAATTTTTCAATGTTTTATCAAAATGTATTTATGATCATCTTAATTTTCACGTATATCTATTTACAGAAGTAAAAACATTGATCGAGCTATGAATGAGTACTAGCATCAGAAAGATCACAATGAAAGTGAGAACCATCAACATTTATGTGCAGTGTCGATTCTAAGAATTTCTGAAGGAAGGTGTGGATGAGACAAAAAAAAAACTTTTCATGGAAAATCGTTAGAAGAAAAAGCGTGAAATAGAGTTCAAAGAGGGGTGTGACCAAATCTCCCTCGCTTCTCCTGGATCTACCACCACTTACGTGGTATTTTTTCAAGAAGAACAGTTTTTTTTTCTGAATAGAATCAATAAACTCAACGGTTATAATTGATTTGGAAAAATGAAGAGGTTCTTCAAAACTTATTGATATAAAAGAGATCATTTCTAAGGTTAAAAAACAGTTATCAAAAGCAAAGCGAAGTCAGCACGATTGTTAGCAAAAGAAATAAGAACATTACGTGATACAATTTATCATATAACTAAAGAAAATCCCGGCTACAAGACTTAGAGAAAGCGAATGACACCAACACATGTTGATGAACATAAAGTCAAACGGAAACCATTTGGCATTTTGATCACAAGAAAAATATCAGAAAATTCATGACGAAAAAGATTTTATTTTATTTTCGAGTGAGAAGTACTTTCGTGCTAATGATACTGTTAATAAACAGAATGATTGAATTTATGCTGCTACACATCAAGAAGCAAATGATATAGGCGGTATTCATTGTGAAACGCAATTTTTTGCCTGGCGTTAGGATTTAGTTAAGAGTATACTATCGAGAAGTAGTAGAGCAGATGTTTGTCGAAGAAGTTAACATCAACAGTTCATGATATATCGAAGAAATTTTACTGATTGTATTGAAAGATAATGAAAAGATGTTAGGTATCGAGTGTATTTCTCAGCAAGACAATGCATTGCGTAGCACAGGGACAAAATGACGCCACAACAGTGTTAAGAATATTTTCTCGATTTTTGGACTGAAGGCTGTCGGCCTATAAGCAGTCCAGATTTTAATCTGCTAGACTATTGTATATGATACGAACTTCGTCAACAAATACGCTGAAATCGTATAACAACCAAGCAAACATTAACTAAGAAAATAAAACAAGATGTCAAGAAAGATTTTATTTGAAATCGTACGTCGCACTATCCTCAAATTGAACCTATCGAATGTTACACTCGAGGAACATTATGTTTCTCTTAAGAAAAGGGTAGTTTTGTAGTGTTGGAAATTCTCTATATTTCGGTATATAAGAGAATTTTTTTCATCATTAAAAAAATGAGATAAAATCTCATATTTTATCGCGTAAATTTATTTTATAATAAAAGAGAGTAAGGATTTATAAGAAAAAGAAAACTGAAGTTTTGATTGAAAGTAAATGATTTTATTTTTCATGAGTTGTCATATTACAGGTTTAACTTCTTTTTGGGTAATTTTTCAAATCTTTATCGTTAATGCTAGGTTTTTATTGGTAGAAAATAGCAATGAAAAATTTTTAAAAATGGTGTTAAAAATACATATATGAAAATTTCATATTAGATAGCAAAACTCTTTTATATAGATACAGTCTTTATGGAAGTTCGTTTA